ATGAGACAGATTTTAACATACTATGGATGGGAAGTCATCCAAAACCGGACATCTTGCGAAATTTGATGCCTTATCAAAAAATAAACCATTTTCCTAGGTAAGAATGAATTATTAAAAAATGGTTTTCATAATCTAAGATAATACTTTACGGATTTAAATAGTCACGAAATAAGCTCTTGGAACAATTTTAATTTCAAAAATTTTTATTTGAATTTTTATAGAATATAATATAAAATCTGTATGACTATTAACTTGAACTTCCTTAAAAATCTATTTTTTAGATCGTACGAAATTACCCGAAAAGATCGCCTTTATAAAAATATCGAAGCTATGCAAAGAAGTAAAGGCCTTCGAAATCTTGATTTTATACCTCAGACATTTCTACTGCCTACTGAAGCCAGAGAGTTGATTTCGGCGCATTTCAGATATAGAGGGCCTTGGATTGTCAAGCCTAAAGCTAGTTCGCGAGGCCGTGGCATTTATATTGTCAATAATGTAAGACACACTTCAGTATTTTATGAATTTTTTACATTATTTAAACTGTCGTTAAGTAAAAGCAATCTTACATAAATATATTGAGAAAGTTTATTAATAAAAATTTCTTATAATAATTGTAATTATTTATAATAGTTATTTCGGGATAAACGGACATCGATCTTGATCTTGACACATGTCAAGATCATGACTATGAGTGACCTTCAAAAGATTTTAGGTGGCGGTCATTGTTCGTTCAAAAGTTATTAACAAATAAAGTTTAAAAAATAATATTTATTTCTGCCATATATTAACGGGTTTACGACTTTCCACGCGAAGAGAGGTCCACCCTCCCCTCCCCCCTCCTCGAGGGGAACGCATATCTTTCTATGCGAAGCAGGGCATCATGGAACAAAATCGGAATGGATTCAATTATTTCCTAGATTTCTATTGCGTTTTCTGGTGAAAAGAGAATAATCGCGATCGGAATCCATTCCGACTTTATTCCATGATAGGTGTCCAGGATCCACCGTACTTATATGCGTTTGAGTGAGATAGAACAATGATGTAAGAAATGAATTAAGAATATCAATATTATCGATTTTTTTAATTTGGAATTTAAAAAATCTGTAGATACTATCGACATCGATCAAGTTCGACCGTCACTCAAGCCAGCATCCCCTTAATGATGTGATTTAGCAATGATTTTAATTTAGCAACTAATTATAATAATATTTTTAAATTGCTCTTGAACATATAATTAGTATATTTATTGATAAATATAATGAAAGATAAATATATTCTTGAATTACTATATTTGGACTGGCATCAAGTTGTATATAAATTGTGTTTTATAAAATTGATAATTTTGCGAAGTGTATAATACTATATCATTCACTTATCCACTTTTTTTTACTATTTCGTTATAGCCTGAGAAGATCCTGACAGATGAATCGGTTATTGTGGCACAATACATAAATAATCCGCTTTTAATCGATGGACATAAATGCGATTTGCGTCTTTACGTAGCTGTAACGAATTACGATCCCCTGCTAATTTATTTATATGAGGAAGGTTTAGTGAGATTTGCCGCTGTTAAATATGATGGAGCAAGTGAATATGTTTGGAATCCTTGCATGCATCTTTGCAACTATAGTATAAACAAGTTCCACGTGGATTATGTAAAGTAAGTTATACAGCAAGTACAGCTAATATTAAATATATTAAGAGAAAATTATTTGTATGATAAAGTATAAATATATATTTTTTTAATAAGATAAATATATATATACATATATTAAATGGATAAAATTGTTTATATTGATAAAAGATACATATGTTTTCTATTTATGTAAAGTAATAACTTAAATAGTTAAATATGCTAAAATTTTGAGAAAATTTTATAATATAATAAGGTTTACTTAGACAAAATTTTTAATACATGTTTGCTTGTTTTTGTCTTGCCAAAGTTTCAAATAGTTTTCTTGTATTATAATGCAAATAATAGTACTTAATAATAGTAGTATAATCTTTGTTATTTTACGTCAAGAAAATATTGTAATTTATGTAATATTGACAAAGCAAATAAATAAAAAAACGAGAATTAAAAAATAAAAGAAAGAAGGGAAGACAAAATAATAAAGTGAAGCAAAAAAAAGTTTTTAAACAATGAATGTCAATACATGATCGAAATTTAAAAACGAAAAGATAAAGGGTATAAACCACGAACGCCAGAAATCGTTAGCGATTGATTATATTTGATTACACAACATTATAATTTCACATAAAATACATAAATGTTTATAATCTAATTTCACATTAAATACATAAACGTTTCGGCCTTATATTAGGCCATCTTCAGTATATAATAATTACAAAATATTTATGCCAAATAACAATTCATCTACATGTATAGTCTTATGACATGTCTACTTGTAACGTGAACCCGCTCGTTATTTAACAATTGAATTTATTTTTAATTAGCACGTAATTGATGTTAGTCCGAACAGATTAAAATTATCATTTCCAAAGGCAATCGTCTTTTTATTACAAGAATTCAGGTAGTTCAAAAACATTTGGCAAAACATTGTAACAAGTACTTTATTACAAGTCATCCACTCTCGATATTGTTCCACATAGTTGACTGTAACACAAATACTAAAAAAATTTTTTATATTTATAACTCGAAACACGATTACAAGATATTTAATTAACCAAAGAATATTGTAATCTGGAAATTTTGCGTTCAATGTAATAACTAAATAGGAACATTTGGATCTGAATTCTTATAATAAAAAGACGATTGCCTTTGGAAATGATAATTTTAATCTGTTCGGACTCACATCAATTACGTGCTAATTAAGAATAAATTCAATTGTTAAATTAATGAGCGAGTTCACGTTACAAGTAGTCATAAGACTATACACGTAGACGAATTATTGTTTCGCGTAAATATTTTGTAATTATTATATACTGAAGATGGTCTAATGTAAGGCCGAAACGTTTATGTATTTAATTATGAAATTAGATTATAATGTTGTGTAATCAAATATAATCAACCGCTAACGATTTCTGGCGTTCGTGGTTTATGCTCTTTATCTTTCCGTTTTTAAATTTTTTAACTTCAAAATAACTATATAACTGAATAAAAAAAATTTCACATAGAAATTACTTATAAAAATATTTAATATAAATTATATCCGACTAGGAGTGAAGATCCCGATGCCGAGGATGTAGGACATAAATGGACATTGTCGGCATTACTTAGACATTTACGTTCAATGGGTCAAGATACGGAATCGCTTATGCAGCGAATAGAAGATATTATTATAAAGTCAATTCTTGCTAGTGCATCTGGAATCGTCAGCGGTTTAAAGCAATTCGTGAAATACCCCGAGACATGTTTCGGTAATAATTTATCTCAAATAATGTCTTCGATAAATTATGTTTTTTAACATAATTTACAGGATGTAATTTAAAATATGGTTAACAAACTTCAGGTTTGAATATGTGACATACTCCCTACATTAAAACACGAAAAAAATTCATATAAACATGCATATATCCGCAAACTCACTGTCACTGAGATGCAGCTCAAAATGTTTATCAATATAGGAAAAAATAGAAATGATATTTATTAATATTTAATATCATTTTCAATTTTTAATTATAACAAATGTTCGACTCCCATTTGATTCTATACACGCTTGGACATGTCGGATTATGGACTGTTTTGCATTCTTTCAAAGTTCTCGTGGCAATTACGAATGTTTATAATCATCAAAGATGCGTTAACGTAATATCTTCATTGGCGATTGGAACTTCAAAAATTAAGAACTTCAAATCAAAGATCCCCACAGATAAAATCTAAGGGGTTTAGATCATGGGGATCATACATAATATTTAAGATTTTGAATTATGTCTCAGTAACATTAAATTTGCGAACATATGTTCATACTTTTTTTCATGTTTGGTGTGGGAAGCTCAGATCCGAAATTCGTTATACCTTATTTTAGTTATACCCTGCGTAAATATAGCTAAACAATACTCACGATATGAACAAATATCAATTTTAAAAAATTATTTTTAATATGTAAATACAACGAAAAAAAAAACGATCATTTTGTGATAAATATTATTTTATGTTATAGAAAGATATAAAGTAGAAATATAGTATTTCATATGTATATCACACATGTATGTTTTAGAGCTATTTGGCTTCGATATACTGATTGACGATATGTTGAAGCCGTGGTTATTGGAAGTAAATTTAACCCCCTCGTTGGGATGTGATTCACCGCTAGATGTTAGACTCAAGTCAGCTTTAATAACAGATTTGCTTACTCTCGTCGGCATAGCTGCTGTCGATCCAATCCTGCGCTCTCAAAATTTAAATCGTGCTGCCATAAATTCCGATAAAAAGATAATTAATGTAAGCTATTTTGCTTTTATTTTTCTTAAATTATTCATATTAATCTTCCATCATATTTATCTTCCATCTATACACAATACACTCAATGAATTCAAAGTTATATGTAACGTACCTATTTGTAATTTCCCATTTCAATAATATAACTGTAATATAACATGTATGTTACAGTTATATTGTTGAGTGAGAAATTATATAACTAAAGTTACATGTAACTTGCGTTCACTGGGTATTGATTAAATATTAAATTATTTAAAATTCTGATTCGATTATACATTCAGTTGTAGATATGTTAAACAATTAATCCCCTGCAGCATTAAGTTATACAAAAGTTGCAGCAACACTGCATATTGCAACAATATTGCAGAAATTTTGCAGCGATAATTATTGCAAATTCTATGCTGTATGGAATGATTTTCAAGATTAGGAACGATTTTGGAATGATTTTCACGGTTAAAAAAATATAAACGTTATCGTTAGCATTATTTAAAAGTTTCTTCGTTATTTTTTTACTTTTAATGCTCTACAAGAATAAGATATATTGATTTTAAAATTATAATTAATATTTAATGATCAATATTAAAACTAAATTTAAAAACGGCCTCATAATTCCCTAAAAGAATATGATTTTAAATTTCGTCGTTTATGAATTATTACATTCTTAATTTAAATGATTCATAGGAAATTTTATACTATTCGATGATTGAGATTTTTTAGACAATATAATTGAAATTCCATTTCACGAGTTTTTCTCAAAAACTTGCAAAGGATATTACTTACAATATATCAAGATGTAAAATCGATGAAAACATATGCTGTGCATATGCTGTCATCCAGCACATTGAATTTATGATATTCAATCTCCATATGCACATTAGGTAATGCAAATGTCGGCAGTTTATATTATCTTAGTGAAAAGATCAAACATCTCTTCATGTTTTACTTCTTTTCATTCACGATTAGAACAAAATCTGGAAATTATTTACAATAGGGCCTTTTCTGAATTTCGACATTTTTCGGCTACAATGTTATAATAATCTTTGTTATGACTCAAATAGTGATAATAAGTCGGGAGGTCGAAAAATAGTTTACCTATTTTTTTAATTATTTATTCTACCTTATCTTCTCACATAGGGTTGCACGACTTTCACGCGAAGCGACTCCCACTCCATCTTCCCCTTTCTTAGGGGCGCACGACTCTCACTTCACCTCCCTCTCTGTTCATTATTAGAGTCCGGATTAATGTTCTGAGAACGTGTCAACCGTAGCTATGTCCTCACTACACCTCATCTCCCATCTCTGTAGCGCCATCGCTCCGTCGCTCGCCACAGCTTTTAATAGCTTTTGGCAGTGGAAAGAATCGTGAAGAACGCGCTACAATCGACTCGAATCGGTACGTCGATCAGCGAATAATCCGGGCTCTAGTCATCATTATTACTTAGTATATTATTACTCGAATAGAAGTATATGTGTGTATATTTTTCGACCTCCTCCGATTTATTATTACTATTTGAATCATAACAAAGATTGTTATTAATATTGCAGCCGAAAAATGTCGAAATTAGGAAAAGATCCTATTGTAAATAATTACCCAAAATCTTTAGGACCTATACTTATTTTGAATAACTAACTCTCCCTTCTTTCCCAATAAGTCTATTAGATTCATATTGTTATTTCTTGTTTACGTATCTATCTTGAATTATGAAACGATAGTTATTTTGAATCTGCAAGTTCTTTAAATAGTTTGGAATCACTATAGATGCGGAAAGATAATGTTCATATTCATGGATTCAAAGTGTTAAATAAAAATATACAAACACTTTCATCGCTTTCATCTTTTGTTGTATTCAGGTTATGGTCCTTGCCAAGTTTTTGAGAAAAGTCAAGTTGCAATTTTAGGAACATTGTCACAAAAATACCGACTATCGAAAAGTGCCATCAAATCTCCTATAAAATCATTCAAATTCACAATGTAATAATTCATAAACGGTGAGATTTAGATGATACTGAGCTTCTGCTCCGGGAAACTCCCTTTATGTAGACACTGTAGAAGGAGATAAGGGTGTGTTGAGAAAGGGGCCAATAACCAGAAGATTGGTTCCGTTATGTAGACGACACTTTTCTGGAGACATGACAATGATGAACTTCACAACTTAAACTTTCTCAACAACCAACATCCTAATATTCGATTTACTATGGACATAGAAGAAAATGGTAAACTTCCCTTTTTGGATGTTTTTGTCACAAAGAAGACTGACAATACTCTGGGCCATCAAGTATATAGGAAGCCAACACATACTGACAGATATTTACATGCCGAGTCGCACCACCATCCAGCACAAAAACAGTCGACAATATACTCACTTGTGCATAGAGCATTTAGTATCTCTGATAAAGAACATCTACAAACAGAACTCAACATTTGAAACAAACTTTACCACGGAACGAATACAATAAGAAGGAAGTGGACGGGACAATCAACAAACATAGGAACGAGACAAAGAACCACTGGGACACACAACAACTACAGGAAGAGTTAAACAAAAAAAAAGCCTGCCATTCTTCCATGTAAAAGGAAGAACAGACCATATCAGCAGGATTTTGAACAAATACAATATCCGAATCATTTTCAAGAAAGATCGAGCAAATCTTGAGAAATCCTAAAGACCTCCACTCAATTCCGCAGGAGTATACAAAATACTTTGCTCTTACGAGAAAGTATACATCAGTGAAACCAGAAGAATGGTCAACGTGTGCATGAAGGAACATCAATGGGATGTCAAGAAACACGTCACACAATCGGCATTGACAGAATCGAGACAGGACATCAAATATTATTCGACAAAACTGCTACTATAACTACAACGATGTCATATTTCTCGAGAAAATACAGAGAGATCATAGAAATATAGAAACATCCAAACAATTCGAACAGAAACTCAGGTCATGATGTAAGTAAGATATGAAAAACTGCTCTTTTGACAAGCCAAGGAAGACCTCCCTCCCTTCCCCAACCCTCACTCCTCTTTACAGCGTCTACATAAAGGGAGTTTCCTGGAGGAGCAGTTCAAGTATCAGTGCGCTCCTCGCCCTGATGACAACGGCAAGGTTCACGAAACGTTGGCATTAGTAATGGACAAAAACACGATGATGACCCTTCTGGTATCATTAAAGATAACAGTTGTGAAAGCGTTATATTAATAGTTCACACAAGTAACTTAACTATAGAGATTCTAAATCCTTACGTGTCAGTACGTATATGTATATACGGTGTGTACGTGTATGAGGACAAAGGAAGTAAGTCACTGGGCGCGTGGTTCGAGGGGGAGGGGGGGGCGACGTCATTGGGCACGAGGACTGCAGCAAGGGACTGATATTACCGGGTTCCGGTAGAGGGGAATGGGGCTCGCTATATTCTCTTTCTCTTTCTCTTTCTCTCTCTCTCTCTTTCTCTCTCTCCCTCTTTCTCTCTTTCTTTGCGTTCTCTTTTCAACCCATTATCCTTCCTCTTCTATCTATTGTAGGCTGCAGTTTTCTCTCTCCCACCCATTGCGATTTTATACTTGCCATCTTATTTGCTCTCTCTTCCTCCCATTGTGGTCCTGTATTTACCATTTTATTCGTGCTCTCCCTCTCTTCCTCTCGTTGCAGTCTTATACATATCATTTTATTCTCCCTTTCACCCATTGCGGTTCTATATATTATACTTATCCTATTATTTGCGCGCTTTCTTTTCTTTCCGTTGTTCTTAAAGATCATATTTTTTTTATTTTGCAAAATATTAGAAAATTCGTAAGAGGTACCAAAAACATTAAATATAAAGAATAATTAATCGACTATGAGCAAAACGTTGTTTTCTTGTTTTAGTATAGAAGAGTGCAGTCTGCAGAAACATTGCCTCAAGAAAGGAAGAATATTAGAAATAATAAAAGTAAAGTAGGTTTAAATTTAGAGCAACAACGAATAGTAGCGTCTGCAAAAGCACAATTTGAGAGAAGAGGCGGATTCGTTAGAATATTTCCAAGCCCGAAATCTTGGGAACTCTACTCACAGTACTTAGGTAAACATAATATCTCTAATAATAAATTCGTACAAAAAAATGTCAAAATATTTTTCGAAGTCAATATGTCCTAACAAGATGATCTTTTTTATCCATTCTATGTCTTAGATCCAATTACAGGTGCACCAATGATTTCGGATCCGCTAGGTCCAAGAAGATTACCGCAACATATTAATACTAACCATAATCTAATGTTGCATGAACAATTGTTTCCTGCAGCTAATCGCATTACTGGCTACATTGTTTCAGAAGTCATATTAGATAGATTATCTAGGTATGAGGATACAAATTCTTGTTTCACATAATTATAATAACCACATTTTTGTTCACGAAACTATTACTTTGTATAAAAATTCAAATTTGATAATTTTTCAGTATTATACATTCCAATGATTTTGATCATATGTTATTAATACTTTTGTATTAATCGATAATTCTTTTTTTACTTTTTTAAAACTGAAAACGGATATAATGAACTTAAACCTATAGCCGATTGTCGCAAGATATTGTTATCGAAATCAAAACTATATTTGCTTCAAATTATTTTGTTTGTAACTATTTGTTGTTTGAAATATTGAAGAAAATTTATCTACTGTAAATCCAAATAGAGACAATATATAATTATGAACAAGAAGATTATTAAAATGTAAAAAAATTCAAAATTTATGATATATATTTTTGAAAAGATTAATTGAATATTTTAGTATTTATTTAACAATTAACATATTTTGGTAATTGTATATATTAGGAGCGACCTCACAAATTTCAATGATCTTAATATGTGTTGTCAAGGTCATGACCTCGAGTGATCTCCAACAAGTTTTAGTCGCCGCTCATTATTCATTAAAAAGTTAACAAAAAAGTAAATAAGTTTAAGAAATAACGTCTTTTTTTTACTACATAAAACAAAAATTCTCTGTTTTAAAATCCCTCTTCTGCGTAAAGACACACAACTTTCCATGTAAAGCGAATTCCATTCCATCTCCCTTCCTGCCAAGGTTTTACAACTTTTTACGCCAAACGGGATCCTCCCCCCCTTCCTCTTGCCTAAAAACATACGACTTGCCACGCATTCAAAAATAAAACTGTTATTCGTTTTTGAAATAGAATTTTTTCGCAGAAAAACCACAAAAGCCCCTTCTTAAAACATGATATACATGTCTTTTTACTAGTTTTATTATCGAAGAAAAAACCACAGTTTTTGGAAAGCACGATTTCTGAACATTTATCCCATTTCCTAGCTTAATTAATAAATACCATGTATAATTTCATTTTCGTTCAATCTCCTTTTATTAAATATTAATTATAAATAGATAAAGATCGAAGACGAATAAATCGTTTCTTCATTATCATTTTCTAGTTAACAAATACCAGCATATAATTTCATTTGCATCGCTCTCCTTTTAAATATTAAGTTATAAACAGTAGAGATCGAGGTTGAATAGATCGCTTTGTCATTATCATCTTCTAACTTTGTTAACAAATTATAGAATTCAATTTTTTCATTTCTGTGCGATTTCCTTTCATTATGTATCAATTTATAAACAGAGGTCGATGACGATTTTTCATTACCATTTCCTAGCTTAACAAATCTTTATCAGTGCAAATTAATTAATGTTCGCAATTGTTTAACTAGTGTCCCTAGACATTTACAATGTTTCCGATCAGCGCTTCTAGCGCCATTTAGCGTCAGATGCTGCAACCGTACATTCTGAGCTGATCGACAATAATAATGATGATGACAATAACGACATACCTGAATCTGAAAAGTTACAGAACTTTGCGTCGCAATATCCCCACTTATAGGGTACGTAGAGAAAAATGTATAATACAATCGGAGTACACAAGCTATTGATTAAGTGTACTGAAAACTCGATCGGGTCAGCCGTTATTGAGATCCGATAATCTCGATTCGGCATAACACTCAGCTTGCGTAAAGGAGCATGGTAGTGTCTCGCGCTATGACACTTCGCTTGTCTTAGCGGCGAGACTTTCCCGGTTTATTATCATTATCTGAATCATAAAAATTGTTATCAACATTGTAGCCAAAAAATATTGAAATTCATAAAAGGTCATATTCTATATGATTACCGAATCTTGTTTCGCGTAAAGTCGTCAACAAAATCAAATATTTTTTACTTTTAAGCTAATTCTACAATGTGCTCTTTGTTTCCTATTTCTTGCTGTTTGTCTTTTTGGTCAATAAGACAAAAGACAAACAGCAGACAAGAAATAGAAAACAAAAAGCACATTGTAGAATAGCCTGAAAACAAAAATTATATAAAAAGATAACGTTTTTAAAGAAAATTTTTGTTTCTGAAGCAAAAAAAATTTATTTTGAAACAGAATTTTTATTTTATGCTATAGAAAAGGACGTTATTTCTTAAATTTATTTAATTAAATTTATTTTTATTGTTATTATAATTTTTTAACAAATAACATCTAAAATCTGTTGGAGGTTATTCGGGGTCCTTGACAACATATGTATATATAATATATATTGAAATCTATGAGATCGTCCCTAATATGCAATTACCTCACTTTCGTTTTTCGAATTCTTTCCGCCGGGCAGATTTGCTCGGTCAGTGATTAAACATAGTTTTCATTTCAGCTGATCTATAACCGATCTATATTTGTATATTTTGGTTTTGAACCAGAGTAATATTTTTTCTTAAGTTTTCTGGAAATAGAAATCTTGGCTGAATTCTTATCTAACTTATACGCTTATTAGAAGTTGAATCTGTTGTCCCCATTTCTCGAACGTTCTTTCAGATTCATCGAAATTGTCAATCAAATCTCCTATTGATCTTATACTAAACTTTGCTTATGAACTTTCAAACGGTGTAGAAGGTTGCGGTATTTGCCTAAGTAACTCGGTCTCGCATCGTATTAGTTCTCGTTCCATCAAGTTTTTCTCTCTTTTTAAGAATTTCAACTCTCTTCTTAATAGCTGCTCGATATCAGCCAATGGCGCTTGGTTCCATTACAGTAGGTAGGAATAATAGGCTCACTTTGTGTCGGCACCTTTGATCTGATTGTTAAATGACTGCTATGTTGTCAACTGTTGTGTGAGCACCTATAAGAACGAAGTTGCTTAGCTTCCCTAGACTGTACCTAGGCCGGTATTCATAGTCGGATCTTATATTTAAAACCGTCTTAAGTACAGTCTTGAGATGTCATGAGCCAATCAGAGAATTGTATTAACATCTTAAGACAGTCTTACTTAAAACGGACTATGAATACCGCCCTTAGAGTACTTGAATAGAGGAAACTGATTGATGCGCCACACATATTATTGGCCATGCGATTCGGTCATGCGCGAGGCCATTATTTTTGACTGAGTAAACCTACTGTTCTTTCCTACTGTTCTTCAATATATGCGGCACCTTCTCTCTTTCGGTGGCGGTTTTTCCACATATCGGAAGGATTAAACTTGTTTAATCACATTCTACCTTCATCCCGTTCACGTAATTTTTCTTACAACACTTCTACCGGAACATTTCCTCTTCCAGCGTTTCGGCGGGGTGTTACGTCATTATTCCTTGCATTTTTTTTTTGCGCAACACGAACTTTATCTTAACTTTAGGGCAAAAAACGAGATAAACGGGGCAGAAACAGAGATAAACGTAGAAGTCGCAGTCGTGACTGGTCGAAAATGTGCTTCGATCTCAGAGAGATCTAAGCACTTTTCCAACCATTCACGATTGCGACTTCTACGTCTTACGTTTTTCTCTGTCTTACTCCACATCACGACTATGGGTCTGAGTACAAGAATTGTAATACTTACTTAGGCCTGTCTACAATAGATGATTGGTTAATTTCTATTACGATTTACCGCTTACAACTCTATTGTAGAACATTTAGAGACACGGCAATAAGTTATACGTCATACATGAAAGCCTGGGCGTTTCTTGCGTCTATAACTTAAGTCTAAGTGTTACGACAATTCTTGTATTCAAACCCGTTACATCTCGTTCTCAGCCATAGCTCTTACCAGTATGCTAGAAATGTACACGGCTGCTTCGTATCTATTCGATTTCATGATATTATTGTTCACACATGTGTCATCGATTTATGCAACGCCGGATCGCGCGCAGTGTTTATTTGCATATAAATCGCACACAGCGTTTTCTAATATGTTCGTACCTGACTCAGTCTGATTTCATGGGGCCGTCTATGAGCTCTCGTCCGTTTTTAGTCACACTAATCTTAAATTTGGTGCCTCAATTAGCATTGTATCTTACTAATTTTGAGATTGTAAGTGAACGTCTGACCTCGATCGCAAATTCGCAAAAGAAGGAGAAAGAAGTAAGCGACTCTTATGCGTGTTTTCTCTCCGACGACCATCTTCATTTTAATTCTCCTCTGCGCGATAGGCGCGTACATCATATTCAGGGGATGGAAGTAACTCGTTACTTGTAACACGTTACAGTTACAAGTTACTTTTTTGTTAACTTTACTAATAACCACGTTGCTTTGTTTTAATAATTGTAACGTAGTCACATTTTTTTGGTAATGGTAAATTTTACAGTTATTTTTATTGTTAGTTTGCGCACGATTAAACACGGTTCGATTGAACAAAGCCATAGCACTTGAGACATAGAAAGCCCTTAGGCACCCGTCCGCTGTGATTGGTCGTCGATTTTAAAAAAATAACAAGAAGTTACTTTCTCAAGCAACGATAACTGTTACTTTTAAACGAGTTACTTTTAAAATTCGGTAACTAGTAACAGTAACGTATTACTTTTTCTGTTCGATAACTATAACTTGTTACTTTTAAAAAGTAACTTTCTATTCTCTGATTACTCCGCGCGATGGGCGCGTACATTATATCATTCTGTGCGATATTTAAATTAACCTTACAATATTTACAAAATTGTTTTGTGTAAAGAGATTGCAAAATATGACTTTTCTCAATATTTTTAATGTCTTTTCCCTTGCCAGCGGCAATTTGCTATAGATTTTAAAAAGACGTAAGTTTACGTTAGCGTCTATAAATGTATTAAAATCGTAATATATTAAAGTTATATAAAAAATAAAAGTACATAATGTCTCAAAATTCGCGACTCAAAATACTCTAGCAAGAAAGTTCTCAGAGGGTTAAGTAAAAAAATTATTTGTAATTTTTTATTTTAATCAATAAGATATCAAGTGTGATTGAATGATTTTAAGATATCAAGTGTGGTGTGTGTGTGTGTGTGTGCGTGCGTGCGCGCGTGCGTGCGTGCGTGCGTGCATGTGGTGTTATTTAAGTATGGCCAATTACAGACTACGTTTAAACACCCTCCAGTCCACGAATTGTACATGCAGTAGTATTAATGATTATAATTGCGCTCACCTACATTTACAGATGACTGTCAAAACGTATCGTCAAAGCACTAGTTTCTGGTAAGTCTCTAATTTTTTATCAGTTGGTGAATAAATTATTTTATTGCATTCACGTCATAAATATTCATTGCAAAAAATATTTGTAAAATTGAATAGAGAATTACTCTAACTAACAATAAGTGAGAAGCAAATTTTCAAAATGCGTTTTGCCTAAAATTTATATAATTTTCCGCAAAAAAGAAACTCATAAAGAAATCACGCCTTACAGAAAATAACAATTTGCCAATCAGAGATTAAGATGTAAAATATTAAAATTACTAAACTATTTCTAATAATGTTAAACGAATGTATTTTATTTGTCTCTAGTTAAAGGATATACTGCACTTTGAATGTCTAGACTTTTTTTAACACAAATTGATGGTGAAAAAATGCTTTCAGAATAGCTTCTCTTAATAGAAAATATGAATCTTTTAAAATTGAACATTATGCCATCTCTAACTAAAAAAAAATCAAATTTTGGACAAAATGCATTTTGGAAGTTTCCCCCCTCAAGTGTAAATATGGAAATTCCAATTGAGCACATTTTTATGACGAAAAATTCGATAAAATAAACGTTTGGAAAGAGACGCATGTTACTATCATCTATTATAGTCGGGCGTAAGCAAGATCTTTTGTTCAATCAACTTGTTATTTGCACGTGTTTAACGAAATGAAGGTAATTGTATATATTTTGTTCAGAGAATAGTTCACTAATAGAGTGTTTTGAAGAAAAAAAACAGAAATTAGAAATCAGATTTAAAACAAGAATCTGCTATTCCAGAAGCATACAATAATCCTTCAACTTCCTCATGGAAATACATTTTGAGCAATATATTCCATTCTACGTACTCGGGCCTCTCTCGTGCTATTAACAAGAGAATCGGTTGGAACTGACTCGATTTTAATAAGCTTTGGATATGTTGTGGAGCATGAAAAAATATTAGACCGAAGGTCTTCAAATTTCGCTCTAAAATTTTAGGAACATATTTTCGAAGAGTTGTACTATTGATGTGTGAAAAAGAAATCGACTTTTTTTAACCCTACAAAATAGGAAATCCCCCTTTTAACTACTTAAGGAAACATGATGATATATATATATGAATGTGTATATGTATGATATGAATATATGTATGTATATGAATATGTATATGTATATATATATGAATATACATATATATGAATAAACACACTATTTGGATTATCCATGAAAATGGAACAGTCGAACGGAATCCTATTTCAGAGTTTTATCAGTTAGCCACATAAGTTTGTTCGAGTGGAAGTTAGAATTGTTTCTATTGAGAATCTATATTCAACTGTAAATTCATCAGTTATTGGCGATGAAAATTTAAGTATAAAACTAATGTGAAGACTGCAGAGTGTTTGAATGTAGAAGAAAAAATTCAAGGCAAAAATCTTGTTTCAATTGTATATCTGGATGAAAGGGCTACCCGATCTTAATCTCTTAAAAAAAGTGTGTTTATTTGTTTTTGAGATAATTATTCTATAATCATAATAAAACATGATTATTTATATTGTATATAAATTTTTCAGCATATAACCCGAAGGTACCATTTCCATTTAAGAGATGTCTGGCTGTTTTGGCCCAAGCAAAAGCAAGAAAAAAAAATTAAATTCCTGTCGCTATATCAGACGAATGGAGAGAATATCACCAAGATCTAATTAAAAAAAGGAAAAAAAAATAGAGGAGAAAAGACTGAGAATAAAATTAAGATTAGAAAAATAAAAGTAAAAGAAAAGAAAGAAAAGAAGAAAATAAAAAAGCTTCTAGTAAATAAAATTAAAACATAGGACACAAACATAAGAAAAATTTTCATAAGAAAAATATTATTTTTTTTACATTTCTATTATATTACTAATATAGAAATGATATATTAACAGCAATCGATCGTAAAAATATAGTAATCTATTATATTAAAAGTATGGAAATTATATTAATAAATTAATATAGTATCCACATATTTTATTTATTTCATAAATTTATTAATAGTATATTGAAAAATATAAATAATATTAAAGAAATTGAATGTTATTGAGTTCTTAGTCTTTTTATGTTACAAAATATCTATGATCAGAATCTATAATGCTTGTCAGGACTATAGATCAGAAATTGAATCTGAGAGTAAAATGCTGATAAAAAATTAGTTCCACATAATTCACAGCGATATTATCTCATTATCAACTTAATTATGGTTATTACATTATTTTTCTCATTGCAACTTAAATTTTGAATGTTGCTTTATCGTTTAAAAACAAAAATGTTTGTATTACGTTTAAATATTGAGCAACGTGGGAATACTCCTTAACCGACCAGAAACTAGTGCCTTGACAGTAATTGGTCACATTTAAATCGTATCTCAGAAGATATTACTTAAAAATTTACAACTCTGGATGCTGCGAAAATAGATTACAATGCATTGTTATAGCTTCATTTGTATAACTATGATCCTGTAAAAATTAGTAATTAATCATTTCCTTATAGGTACGAAAGATACGAAAGAGCATTGGTGAAAGGTCACAAACAAAGCTTGGACAGAATGAACAACAAAGAGAATGTAACTATAGATGTACATAAATATAAAAGTCAAGTATTGCAATTAATGCAAGAAGGCAATAAGCTGAGGTTTGTTATTAAAATTCCTCAATAAAACAATATAAGTAGTATAAGTATATAAGTAAAAAAAATAATATAATAAGAAATATATCAATTAAATATAAGTTACAAGCTTTGACAAATTAAATCATTATACGAATAAGAATACCAATAAGAGCCGACACATGTTGTTAGTGTATATTTCTTATTTCAAATATAAAAGTCAATAAAAATATCGCAAACATTTCGATCCTCTGTTTGGATCATCCTCAGTGCAATTAGTATGTCTTAAAATCTATAATCATTGTAAACGCATAAATAGACGTGTAAGTAATTAAAAGTCACTTATTAGATTATATTACTTCGTTAAATTATGTTTTATAAATAAACTTGCATCTTTAATGAAACGTAATAATCGACTTTTAACTAATAGCTTATACATCTGTTACAAACGTTTACAATGATTATAGATTTTAAAACTACACTGAGGAGGAGTCAAAACAAAGGATGAAAATGTTTATGATATTTTGATTGACTTTTATATTTGAAATAAAATAAGAAATACTAACAGCATATGTCAACTTTTATTAACATTCTTATTCGTGTAATGAATATCAATTAGTCAAGTATTCAATTGTTTGAATATTGTTCGATTAATTCATCTGTTTTATTTTTCTTTCCCATCTCTCTGCATAAAAAAAATTATACGAACAATATTTCAGTTCTGGTGAAGCAAGGAGAGCCTTCGGTTTATATCTAGGTTATATATTACGGAAAATATCACAGCCTAATGTAGATCCAGGATGTTGTGATCTTGTTATGAAGTTTCTCCAACATTCGTCTTGCAGTTTGAGAACACCATTTTTATTTACGGTACACATTAGTAATAACATTATGATTATGGTCCACTTAATGCTACGAAGCATTTGTAGCGTCAAATGGATCGTATCCTATATCTTATTATATAATAAAGTAATTTATTTAAAAAACGTTAAGACATTTTAACAGTGGCAAAGGTTAAGTGGAAAAAGTACGGTAAAATTATTCTCAAAGATAATTTAACGAAATAGTCCCCCCCCCCCTCTCTCTCTCTCTCTCTCTCTGTCTCTCTCAATAACCAATGTAGTTTAGTAGTTAAATATACTATCTAATTCCTCAACTTTCTAAAGCTTCCTGATAGGTCTTAAGGATGTTTACAAAATAAAATTAGTTATATCCTATAATCAGATATAGCGCATAATATAAAGATAGAGATATTTGTCATGAGCGTCGCGGCATTATAATAATAAAATATTGTAAATAAATGAAAGTTTAATTAAAACATTACGTTTAATGATGTTTTAATTAAAAGATATTTCCGCGTGATGTTTCTGAACCTCGGAAGAATACTGAGAAAGTTGACGAGAGGCATCTCATTAGCAAGAACATGCGAAAACCAAGAGAGAATATAATCGGACTGGAGCATATAATCGATTCGCGACTCGCTCGCTCGCAGTCCGGATTCTCACAAGGATATTAAGTTCGTTGTCTATCTAAAGTCTGTAAGGCGTTAAGGGGAATAATCAAATAATTGAAAACAAAAATGAAATTATAAAGTTAATTTATTAATAAAATATTTTAAGGTTTTGAAAAAAAGTGTGTGTAAAGTTAATTAGCTCCGATCCCGACGTCCCCGCGGATCCCGAATCTGTTATGCCCGACTCCTTGGCACAACATATTTGGTGACAGCGGTGGGATCCGCAATCGTAAAATCCACCCAGTTGATCTTTGAAAAATTTTTTAAGTTTAAATCGGTCACAGTGTAATAAAAATAGTATCACTTGAGTTTTACTTTTTAATTTGGTACCATAAAGATGGTATCACTTGGATTTTATAATTTGGTACAGTAATTCGTTTTCGAAAAGCATGATGTATTCTTAGCGCTTTTTTTACCCTTTTTGGGAAATAAGTTTATATGATATTCACTTGAAACTTCTTTTTTATTTTTGTTTCATTATTATTGCGTTATGTCTAACTGATTGAGAGATGTAAATTTTAATTTTTTAAACTCATCATTGTAACATTCTAACGGGTTTAGAAAAATGAATATCTTATTTCTACATAGCGTATTTACCCTCAAATTGCTTTTAGATTTATTTCGTTAAATTATTTTAGGGCAAATTTTTTTATATTAATTCCACTGGACTCTTCAAATTTTAAGTTAAATTCAAAATTAAAGTATATAAATTGAGTATCTATTATTGTCGAAGTATTGCACTACGTCCAGAATACGACAATTTTATATCAGAAATAAATCGCATAGTTGAATTATTTGTTTGAATTAATAATGTTTTCCATAGTTACCGTGCAGTAAGTTAAGCGATAAAGACCGAGCTGCCATCACCGCAAAACAACTTTCTGATTTTTTGCATCTGTATAACAGAGAAACAGATCTATACGAAGACACCGTAGATCGGTCTCATACCGTTCCTAATAAACTCTTCCAAAAGTTTTTAGCTGCTGCAAGGTATGCACATATGTTGAATTTTTAAAACATAATCCTATTGTGAAATTGTGTAAGAAAAAACTAACCCATTAAAATACAGAATAGTATCATTTGTATCATATTTTAGGACAAATTAGATACAGAAAAAGCATATCAAGAACTAATTTCACAACAAATTAAGATATGTGTAATATGCTTACGTTACAGCGAACAAGATCTTGATGATGTGCTGATTCTACAAACTCGTCTTTATAAGTGCACTCACAGTTTCTTGGGAAGAAGCGGCTTCGCTGGCAATCTACGCGGCGCAAATCTTCTCGGGTCTTTACCGCATATTACATCGCGAGTATATTCCAATGCCGCTGCAACAGAACAATGCAGATGTAATAATTCAATTAATAGGTAATTTAATTATTACATTTATCGAATTTCTTATACATTTTGAGAGAGAAAAAGAGATGGAGAAGAAAAAAAAGAAAGAAAAGAAGATTATGCACATAATTGTAATTCTTAATCTGTCAGAGCTACTCTTCTCTCTCTCTCTCTCTCTCTCTCTCTCTCTCTCTCTCTCTCTCTCTCTCTTTCTCTCTCTCTAATTGTTGATAAGTTAAGTATTATATGAGGCTATTTTAAAACAAAATGGCAAATAACACTTTTATGCCCTGATATAATAATAAATCGTGCATATAATGTCAAAGGCATCATTTTAAGCAAGAATATTTTGAATACTCTCTAAAGCGCTTTAATTTTATTTACGTATGCAACATATTAGTATATTACGCATTCGTATATCTTATCGCCGATTCGCGTAAAGGAGCACGGCAATGTCTTACGCCATGTCTTAGCGCCGAGATACTATTGTGTCTCCAGATAATGATCTCCACGAAAGCGATTTGGAAATTGCTGATATCATTACCATAGGTTTGCTCACGTTGCTTGCACTTTTTGCACTCAATGTCTTCGCTTTCTTTTTTTTTAATTCCAACACCTAATATATATATATATATTATATATATATACATATTCCACATTAAGAAATAAATCAAAGATGTTAAAAGTAAAATGGTATGATGTCAATAGTTTTCAAGTATTGAGTCTTTGAAGCCTGTCTAACCACAGAGCATGAAGTTCGCGCCGTCAAGTGCGGTGCAACTAAGCGGCTGGCCATATGAGTACTTCGACGGTTACTGATAAACAACACGATATATAAATAATCGAACGACTTTTGCGAAGGTTCCGTGAATTTTTTATTAACTTATACTGTTATATTCTTAAATTGGGCCAATTTAATTGACGAGTTAAATAATGTCGCCATTTTTTACTAATTTAGACAAATTCAGGGAAATAACAATAAAATAGAAACATGCATATGCTCATAATACCGCGATTCAGGTAATCTTTCCAAATCTTTTAAGCACTAAGTTATATGAAAACAGAAGAATTACATGAAGACAGAAGGAAAAATGTGTGCTCTTCAGAGAATCAAATGTTCAGTTATTTATACAATCCTAATAATTCTAATATATCTAATCTTATTTTCCTTTCTTTTTTCCTTCACTCAATAGATTCACATTTAATAAACAGAAGTAAAACTCCGTAAATTAATAATTTTAAATTTGGGGAATTCTTTTCTTTCCAAAAAAAAAGAAAAGAAAAAGAAAAAGTAAAGAAAACAAATAAAGTGTTTAGACTTACTACTTGTTGAAAGTGGGCCAAAAGAATGAGTCAATTGTCTTGGTAAACTTTGCTGAGTTGATCCTCGATCACAGTATAAGGATATATAATAGAGACAAGCAATGTTGGCACCTTTGATCTTTTTCAGACGAATTTCCAGGGTTTTGTCTTTGATATATACCAAATATTATATCAATAGTATTAGGAACCATCGTCTATACTCAACAAAAAAAAACTAGAGATAAAAAATCTTAACTTTTCAGAATCTTCCACTAAATCGGTGATCAGTCAGATACATCCACGTACAGTCACGTTGCTTCATAAAATTAATTGCTGTAATCAGCTATTCAGGAGACACGGTAGTGTCTCATCGGCCTTGTCGCTAAGATAAGCACAGCCATATGTCATGGCATAATTGCAGTAACAGAGAAACTATGAGTTCTTTGTTTTGATCCATTTGCTACCAAAAACAGCCGCTTATAAAGAGCAAGCAAATATGCGCGGCTGAAAACAAGCTCTTGTCCTTACTGTATATCCTTATGTGCTTCAGTGATAGAAAATGGTCTCGTGGATATACCGAATCAGATCTCGATCTGATTTGGAGAGATATAAGAATACTACCGCACTAGATCTCGACCACACAAAGTCAATAAAAATTGACTAAAATTACTTAACTAACTGGTCGCGGACCGGCAGAATGTCAATTAACTGGCCAAATTAACTGACTTTGCGTTCACGAAGGGCCTTTTTTATTCGCGAAGGAATTGGCGCTGGATGAAACCGCGTATGTTAATGATCTAATTTAATTTAATTAGGATTAGTAATAGGTTACGAATTGGATACTGGGATCGGTATCCTTGTGGCCTAAATTTTTAATTCCTTAACTCTCAAACAATATTAGTCATTTTCGTCATCGACCATTTGCCGAATGTTCAATATCGATAGTTAGAATGTTCAAAACCGTATGTGTCATCTATTTCAAACAACCGATGCTGTTTCGATTTATAAATCCTTAATCTATACTACTTCTTTTGTTCTTTGGGAGACATCTCTTTTTATTCGATACTTGTTCGAATATTTAATTTAGCAACATCCTCCCGAGCTAATTATTATTCTATAACAGAGATCGTTATTCGGCTCATTACTATCGCAATTTTTTGTGGCAGAAATAGATGATTCACAGATAATACTTATTAAAAATTTTTATGGTGATGACGAAAATCCTCACCAAAGAAAAAAATTGTGGAGTCTGGACGTAACATTTGTGTATAAAAAAAAGCAATATACAACGTTACATACTTATACAATAAAATGACATTTCAAACACAGGAATTACCTTGTTTTATCGTTTTGCGACAATAGCATTCAATCATAAAAATTTTTATTATACACAATTACGTTGCATTAATTGTCAATATATTTAAATTCAGTTGAAAATGGACCTGTGAGTTCCGAAATGTATTTTTTTTATGTAACACGATAATAAATATATGTTTTTAATTGATATCTGTAATATTATAGCTCGATTATTGATAGTTAATTAATTTAATTTATTTGATTTTTAAATAAGTAACTATGTGTTTTCTTTACACCAATATGAATGATTAACGGCCTAGTTTACATCGTCAAAACATTAATACGTGTATTAAGTTTTAAGCGCATTAATGCTTTAACACGGTTGCGTGTACATCAAAAGTAATAAAAAAGAAAAAAATAATGCAAATATTATCTTAATATATCATTTGAAAGAAACATAAGTCAAGCATAATACCGATTTCAATTAAGATAGCTCTTAATAGACTTCTTCCAAAAATGCGTTTCATGCATTTACGTCGTCGTTTATGTCATTTGGTATGCATCTCAATTCAGTACAATATGCTCGTATCAAGTAAGAGTATTATACTGAACTGATTCGACAGTGTTTATATCGTGTGTACTAAATATTTAATATAAATTTAATACGAATATAGTACCTGATATGCATATCAAGTGCGTGATGTAATCTAGGCCAATAAGAACGCTCATGTCATTTGTGTGCAATAAAGCATTATAGAAAGTTCACCAAAACTTTTCATTAATTAATTCCAAAACACTTGATTTAACAACGTATATTTATCTTCAACATCGGTTTTTACTGTAATGCTGAATAGTTATTTTGTCGTTTTATTAAAATATTGCTAGAAATATAGGAATTTAACATAAAATGAATTATAAATATAAAAATTCAAAGATGTTCGAATTGATATTCGCGAAAAAGATTGTAGTTCTTCATCTATAAATTTATTCTTATATTCTTATCATCTTAAAAAGTTGCATTACAATGTACTTTCATCGTAATCGCAAATTAAGATAAAAGAAATTTTCTGATGGTAAAAAATAACATGTTTACACAAATTAAGCAAACAATTAATCGTTCTTATCTCTCGAGCATAAGAAGTATAACATATTCAGAGCTTACATTTTTAAGTGTTAATGACATAATTAAGGTATTAATGCATTAAATTAGCCAAGTATCTCAAAAGTTTATTACAACTTACGGCGTTAGATAATTTATAATAGTTTAATGTTGAATTGTTTATTATGTTTGTTTGAAACAAATCCTTTTTGAAAAAAAAAAAAACGATTTTTTTGTACGATTGATGAATAAAAATTGTTAGCTTACAATTAGAATTTCAACTGTGTAAAGAGAATAAAATTACTGCTTTGTCGTTTCACTTATGTTCTGTTCTTCCAGCTCCTTGATTCTTTTCGAACGTTCATGCACGATATATTCTAAGTTGTTATAAAACTCCGAATTTACGGCAAAAAAGCGTTTGAAATCACGACGATGAAAGCGAAGCAGCTCGCACACTTCTAAAGCGATAACTGATTCTTCTCTGCGTTGATTCGGATAAATCAAGCCAGCTTCGCCAAAGTGATCACCATCGTGAAGATGATATATCTATAAAGAATATCTTATTACTTAACTGTAATTTTAAATAAAATATAGAATAGAGCACGGCTTTTTCGTCCATTTCTCACGACTGTGTATGTTTCTTAACAGCATGCATTTAAAGATCATACTTTGAAGCGTTTTGAAGCTATCACGATTATATAAGGTTATAGTTATAAGCACATTATTGCAAAAAGTTATTGTTTGTTGCCGTGAATTTTATATTACCTTAAGATTGAAAGTAACGAAATAGTCCCGCTGTATCCTAAATTTGTTTTCTTTTTTTCTATGTAAACATTTTCAGTTACTTCTTTTCCGGAAAATGTGATCAGTGCAACGGTTCCACTAGCTATAAAATACATATCTTCGCCTTCAATACTGGCTTTGTAAATTACATCTCCCTTGAGATATATCACTGGCTTCAATGAATCTATGACAAATCAATTTATCATTAAAATAAAAATCTTCAGCTTTCGAAATAAATAATAATCAGAAATGGAAAACATATACAATAGTAAGATCACAATTGTATGGACGTTAAAGCATGATTGTGACAAATGTTACACCATTTAGCATTACGTTAAAATAAATATAAACAATAAATTAAATTTAAAATGTTTAAATAACGATTTAATAAAAGTTATAAATAAAAAATTTAACAGTAATCAAAGATTATTAGCGTTACATTCATAATAATAAAATGACGATATAATTATGATCAAAAGAAGTACTTAGGAAAAAAAATAAGTTACCCATTCTAAGCAATGTACGTATTTAGTATTGATTAACTTCTGCGACTGTACGAGACTGATATATTGTGATCACGAACACTTAACGTTAATAGAGATATGCTCATGACAAATCAATTTAATAAATGTTGTCAAAAAGATCAAATATATAACTACAATTGTGACTTATTTTTATGTGCGGAATAGCATATCTATATCTCATATTTTCTGTTATTTACTTAAAGAGAGCACAACTAGATAGAAGAAGTCAGTGCATTAGTTAATGTTTTAGATAACATGCATGTCCAAAATTAGAATATAATAAGATATTATATTCTAATTAATAATTAAATCGTATTAATGACATGATGCTCCAAAAATTCCTTAATGTTTTTAAGGAATCTCATGTCTCGATTTTGTATATGATTCTATCTGAGATACTTATTTTATTAATTGTTATTTAATTAACAAAAAGTAATAATTAATCTTTATTAAATGTGATATAAAAATGATAATTTTGTGTTAACATATGATCAAGAATATTTATGTCTTTAAATGTTATTTAATTGACTGATATCGGATAATGAAAAATGATTATAAATTGACATTATACAGATGATTCTTAACAACTTATATAATAATAAATTTGTATACAAATTCAATTGAAAAACACTTTTTGCAATTATTATTAAATTTGAGACAAATTATAAATGCATTCGGTAAAACAATAAATATAAACAAACAAAAAATTAATGACTTGAGAAAATTTTTTTTAGATATCAATATAATAATAATAATAATATCAATTTAAAATTAAAATTACAGCGCAAGATCGAAATATTATGTCAATGATACATAATAAATAATGTCTTTAATAAAATGTAAATATTAAAATAATTTTCATGTAACTGTCGTTTTCGGTTACTTGACGTTATTACTGAACATATCTAGTATTTCAAAATGAAGTGTGCTTGTTACCCGGGGCAGTAACAATTAGTAATACAATAGTAGTACAAATAGTATAGTAACAATAAATATTATTATTATTAATACAAGAGAAAAAAATTACTTATTAAATCACTAAGAACGTTACGGGGCAAATTGCGAAGAACCGTAATATCTAGCAGTCTTTGACTATTATGGAATAGAATTTCTTGATTTAAATAAGCTAAAAGAATATAGGAAAACATGAGAAGAAAATATATAATATATATACTTTATAAACTTATCATTTTAACATCTTAGGAATTAGTTAATAATTCAATTCATTTTCTTTGTTTTCAACTAACCCGAAAGAATATCAGATATAATATTCTCTTTGAAGAAACCATCATAATAGCGATACTTGTAATAGAAAATCAGCTTGTTTTGTAAATATAGCGGAAGCTTCTTCTGATGAATGTATTCTTTTACTTCGTGTATGATTCGTTGATATTTGAGTTTTGATTTGACAGACGATTCTGAGAGTTGCAGGATCGTAACTGCGACAATAAGAACTCTCTTATTGTCGAGTTAATTTTTTTTATTTTATTTCTATTTGCGTAAATGTTTACTTTATAGAACCCAACTCCAATGACTTTGACCTTGACATGTTGCAATAAGGTCATGACCCTAAGTGACCTCCAACAGGTTTTAATTGGCGGACGTTATTAACAAAAGAAGTTTAAAAAAATAACGTCTCATTCCTATACAACTTCCACGCGAAGCGACTTCCACCCCACCTTCCCTCCTACTTAGGAACGCACGACTTCCACACGAAGCAATTTGGCGAGTTGGAGTGGAACTCGCTTCGCATGGATAATCATGTGCCTTTGGACAGAAGAGAAGATGGTGTGCGAGTCGCTTTGGGTGAAAGTCGTGCGCCCCCAAGCAGGAGGGAGGTTGGATGGGAGTCGTTTCAGGTGAAAATCATGTGCCCCCAAGCAGAGGGGCAAGTGGGGTGGGAGTTGCTTCGCGTAGAAGTCGTACGGCCCCAAACAGAGGGAGAGATGGGATAGAAATCGCTTTATGTGGAAGTTGTGCGCCCCTAAGCAGTAATTATTTCTTAAATTTTTTTTGTTGATAACTTTTTCGAATAACGTCCGCCAACTAAAACCTGTTGGAGGTCACTCAGGTGATGACCTTGACAACATAAATCAAGGTTAAGATCATCAGAACTGAATCTCCTAAAATAAACATTTACCTATATTTGTAAAACGACTAAAAGATAACATTATTTTAATAAAAACAAAAAATTGCTACAAAATATTAGAAATTTAATGTAACAAGAAAGATTTAATACCAATCAAATAAATTATGTAGCCTTTTCCCAAGAGAAGAACTATGCATCTTATTATTGTGTCCAAAATACCAAAGTTTTTGAATTCTATAAAATTCGAACCTATAAAATTACTCATGCCAATATGCATAAACACTAAATAAACTTCCCAATCGGACATATTATGAAGTTTTGTCGAAATATAATTTGCATCTGAATTCTGAAATTATTCCGTATAAATAGGGAGATAGTGTATTACTATTTTTTATTTATTCAGTGTTTTAACACAAAGTAATTTAAAAATGTTCTTGACAGACCAATTTATAGAAATCACCGTACTTCCAAAGTTTTTCCTTGTATATGCATGACGATATATGGAAAAACGTAACTTATACAGCTACTCCAATGAAAAATTAATAATGTTAAAATAATAAACCATATTGTTATATGTTGAGCTTGAGAGATCCCAAAATTCTATTAAAAAATAATACAAATTAATTTATTTATAAAATACAAAATATTAATATTTAAATGATAATTATATAATTATAAGTTACTGCATTGATCTGTTGAACGTTTCGTCGTACTGTAGATATGCGAATCAATTTTAAAATAGGTAATAATTCAATTATAAGTAATATAGAATTTGAATTTGGACCAGGCGGTAAAATAAGTGTTGGGTAAAACCATGCATATGGCATCGAGCTGATAAAGTCAATGAAGAAATATCCTTTTATATAACGTCTGCTTAAATATGTAATTATACAGTTCTCTTTATATATTTAAATAGTGAGAAATAACGAATTTAATCTTCCAGACAACACCATGTAACATAAAGATAACATTACGTAACATTAAGGCATTATTTAATGATCTTTTAGACATCATACTATAAGATATTTTTATAACATTTTTAAGATGTTTAAGATTTTGATCTTACATCTCGATTTTGGACATACGTGCTGTCTGGATCGTATTATGGCACAATCACCGTGCTATTAGAGTAGTATCAAGAAAAATCCCATCTGGAGATACAAATCCAGTAATAAAATTAAAGAATATGTCAATAATACAAACGGCGTAAATTGGATACACAATATTCCAATATTCAGGACCACTACTTTTTCCGATCCTGTAGAAGCACATAATATGTGGAACTGTTACAAAAATATATAAAAACGTCATAGTCATTATTATGTCCCAGTAGAATCTACGATAACGTTTTCTTTGTTACATTTGTACCCACAAAAAATCAAAGCTGATTTCTTAAATTTTCTTACCTTAACATACTATATGGATGAATCATCCATCTATAAGATGATCTTGAATGTCTTCGCTTTTCGAAAGCAACAGCTGTTTGGCTGCGTAAAATTAAACCTGTTAAAGGATGTCGAGTGGAAACAAGAACCAACTTTTGAAGATTTCGTTTCCACCGATTATAAAACTTCGCGTTTGGGCGTAATTTCGGCAGAGTGCTGCCGGATGTCCTCGGCAAGTCGCATATATGTGCGCGTAAATTCGTTCGTTTTATCAAGATATCCGAGTCTCGAATTGCCATTCCGTATGGATGCTAGTTGACCTGTCAATGATAGCAAGCAGAATAAGACGATCGCTTAAGATCTTAAGCCTTGTGTCCACGATGCTAGAAATCGGTCCAAGACTTCGGATGAAGAATTGACCAATCGCAATGGCCATGTGATCAAATTATTCAAATGTGATTTGTTAATTATTTCTCTGACCGAAGTCTCAGACTTTAAGCGTATATTCACACAATTTGCATAGCTGCATAAATATAATATATGCATAAAAAAATTATCCAATCACATCCCAAATTATCGCACAAAATTCAGGATATCCAAACAGCATCGATTGTTGCGGAAAATTTTCAAAAATGTTTCAATCTTTCACATCTCATATGCAACAATCTGAAAGGATTCTGCATTATGTCATATGAAATACTGTAATGCACCTTCCCGTGCGAACCTCTTTTGCGATCAACTAAGTTAAAATCCGACGAGCTATCGCGCGCAAAAGTCAGGTAGTTATAATATAACATTATAATTATATACGTATATAATTACTAAATATCAATATACCATAATTTATGTTGACTAAAACACAATACGATATTTCAAAAACTTGAAAAAGCATTATTATGTAAATACAATATATATTTATTACAAATATAATTCTTAAAATTATTAAAAATTTTTAGTATATCTCATAATATACAGGGTGTTCATTTAATGCAATATTTATATAATTCAAATATTCTTTTTTTTTAATAATATAATTATTTCTTTTAGTTTTTAATAATTACGTAAAAATATAAAAAATAAAAGCTGATTTATAAAATTAGAAACTTATGTTAAAATATAAAAAGAAATAAAAAGGTTAAATATGAAAATGTTTATTTAGTAAATAGTTAGTATTTCAATTGCAATTAATACTTCAATTACATATTATATTAGCATTTTCAAATACATGTTATTAATTTTGAAATAAAATTATTTTTGTGTGCTTATTGCTTATTCTGTGAATAGTATTTTTTAAATTATCGCATTCGTGATGCATACGCAATGAAAAATATTTCATAAGTATTGTATACATTTTATAGTTTGATAATAATGATTTCCTAAAATTCCTTATATATGTGATAAAATATGTGATCATTGTTAATAAATATATTATTTGGAATTCTTTTCAATGCGTCTTGACATAATATTAAAATAAGGTAATATTAAAATGATTTTTGATAATTTCTTAATATTATAACAACAAAAAGAAAATTTTTTCTGCAATTTTGCAAAGTTTATAATTACATCTTGTGACATATTTATCAATTTGTCTTTAGATTTAATTTTTTAAAGTAAAGATAAACTCATAAATTAAGATTTCAGAGGTCCTATTCTTAAAAGTATCGCATACGAAAAACTAGAGAAATGCTATAATGTAAAAATGAAGTTCACATCGTGGTTGTAACGCTTCATTCTAACATAGTGTGTCCCTAGCAACGCGCTATTTTTAGCAGATGAACAAGTAGTAGTTGAAAGTTAACCATCGAGTCACAAAGACGTGTGTCATTGTACCTCTGAACATTTATAATTACAAGATTATTTAATTAAAATAAACTTGACCTTTATCCTTCAAATCAAGTTCACATTAAATTCATCTGAAAGACAAAGTTCAATCTGAATTCGTCCTCAATCAATGTCGAAATGATTGACAACTCATTCTAGAAACTTATTTATTGGGTCATCTAAAAAGTATCCGCGGTACTTTGTCACTAGATATATGACCATCAACACACATCTAGTGACAAAAAACCGCGGATACTTTTTAGATGACCTATTTCAACTTGCGATTCATCTGCAAGCCAAAGCTTACAATAGTATATGTAAAACTTACAATAGTATATGTAACACATACTATAGTTTTTCTTATGCGATATTTTTCGAGAATAGGGACTCTGAACAAATATCGCATGAAATTTTTTGATTTAATAATATAATATCTTATATAGGATTTATTGGGTCATCTAAAAAGTATCCGCGGTTTTTGTCACTAGATGGTGTTGATGGTCAACACATCTAGTGACAAAAAACCGCGGATACTTTTTAGATGACCCAATAAATCCTATATAAGATATTATATCATTAATATAAACAGAATTATAATTTATATAAGGTCTACTGTTGCATCAATAATGTTACTTTGCAAGGCTTAAAATCTCTCTCTATCTTGTTTTAAAACCAAAAAGAGACAAGAACAAAGAGAGTTTTAAGCCTCATTTAAAATTAAAGTAACGTTGGTGCAACTGGGCCTAGTCTCAGAGTTAGCATAACTGTGTTCCGAAAAAACATTAGCATATTCATGATCGTTTGTAGATGGAATTTATTAATTCGTCGATTGATTCATCTTTTTTTTACTATTGGCTGCGTTCAGCAGAATACAATAGTTTTGCAACCATTTTATGATTCTCTGCTGAGATAGGACCATTTCTTTTGATCTAAAAGCATAACCCAATCAGCATGAAGAAAACTTTTTTTCTTTACGCTTAACTTTATTTTGCAACAGTTGCAAAATAAACGTTCGGCTGAACGCAGTCATTGATAATACAATACATGTAAAAATGAAGTAGTGTCTTGAAGTACACTATTGGCATATTCTGTCACCTATTTTACAATATACAAGTAATTATTTAAAAGCAATTTGAAATTATCGGCATATCGGATTATTATTATCATGGATTGTGGCCAAATCTTGCTGAATCGTAGAGAAATCGCAGACAAAAGACAGTTCAAGATGTGTGTGGTCTTGCGACATTTTATATGTTAATAAATAATCCCATTTATTTTCAGATGATTGTATATATTGGTAACAAATACCGATAACACTTTTTTTTCAAGCAAATTATGAAGCCTAAGAATCCAATTTTCTGTTCTGTAAGTAATATTGGAATGTTCTCATCATTTTTTGAAATAATGTATTTAATATAATCATCAATTTTGTTTACAATAATTGGAATATTGTCTTTTGATATACATTTTTGGGATTCAATTTTGCAAAATTTATTTCGTGAATTTAAAAGATCATTCATTATAAGAATAATATATCATTCATTATAAGAATTGCACTGTTAGTTTGCTTTCTTTAAAGTGAGGCATTTTACACTCTTTATCTAGATAGATTAAAGCATTTACAACGCTAGTGCAATGGTTTTTATATTAAAAAATATAAGTAAAAAATATATTAATAAATATATTTTTATATTAATAAATGTAGTAAAAAATATATTCATTTATTATTTAATATACTTTATATATAATAAATTTATATGTAAAAAAACTTTTGAAGAAGAACATATATAAACTTAATGTTTTATAAAACTTACATGAAACATATTGAATCCATTTTTTAGAATAATCTTATACTTTTTAAGGAGAATTATATATTTAGATAAAAAATTATTATTTGTTCGTAAGATTATTTTAATTTTACCTTTTTCTGTTATTTAGTGCATCCTCTTTTCATAAATTGAATTTCGATCTGGATTAACTTTGGATCCTTCAATGTTTTCCATTCTGTTAGAAATTTCTTCAATGTTTTCTAACCTGTTTAGAAATAAATTATATTGGGTCATCTAAAAAGTATCCGCGGTTTTTTGTCACTAGATGTGTGTTGATGGTCATATATCTAGTGACAAAGTACCGCGGATACTTTTTAGATGACCCAATATATGTACATTTTTTTCTCATAAATTTAAAGTCAATATGCAAAATTCTACTACAAACTACTACAAATTATTCAACTATTCAATTATTTTTTGTTGAGTAGCGTAATTTATTTTATTTTTATATTTTTATAAATTGCTTACAAACAAATATTAATCATATATTTTATTTAAATGTAGATACCTCACATTATTTTATAATGGCATTTGTTCTATATATACAATCTTGTCAATCAAATGTTGTCATTTCAGTAAACGTCAAAACTGATTTGTTATATATTTTTTAATAGGGCGTAAAGTAAGTCCGTAAGTGAATAGTTTAAATCCATTTCTTACGTTCTACTCTTTGTTTTTTTGTTGTTGCTTATGAACTTACTCTATATCCTATTATATCGGAAAATCAGTATCTTATCACTATTGCCCATTGTAGACAACGCTTTAGAGTTATAGAATAGAATTAAGCAGTAAAACGTAAATGGTAAGTGAATTGGCCAATCACAATAAAGACCGTAAGATCATAATGTAAGCTGTAGCCAATCACACGTTGATTTCCTTCTTGCTTACATTTCACTGTTTGTGTGTGCCATGGTCCTAAGGCTAATTTTACAATGTGCTCTTTGTTTCCTGTTTCTTGCTGTTTGTCTCTTGCCTTTTTGGTTAATAAGACAAGAAACAAACAGCAAAAAACAGAAAATAAAAAGCACATTGTAGAATTAGCCTAAGACTTAAGCAAGCAGTAAGGAAATCAACATATTGGATTTGCTATTGCTGGTGTTATGATTTTACAGTCTCTATTGTGATTCATCGATTCGTTTACTGCTTAAGGGCTATGGCACACAAAAATTAAATACTTAAGCAGTAAAACGTAAACACTAATAATTAGTCAATCGTTAATTACACCAATTATTAATAACGCCTCTAACCAGGGAGGATGTGCAGTGAACCTCGCTTCGTGTGAAAAGTCGAACACCTGTAAGCAGAGGGTTGATTGTGTAGCTTCAAATGAGATGAAAATTACAAAAGTGAGCAAATTCACTAAAGTATTCATAATTTAATTGGTAGTATTCATAATTTAATTGGAAGTATTCAATATTTAGTAATCTTTGCTCACTTTTATAATTTTCACCTCCTTTCAAAATCCGCAATCGAATCCCCTAAGGGGGATAGATCTCGCTTCGCGTAGAAAATTATTGCAAGGAAGAGAGGATTTAGGATAGTTTTTAACATATAGCACAAATAAGACATTTTTTAAACTTTTTTTGTATAATAATTTTTTAACGAATAACGAGTGACAACTAAAAACTGTCGGAGGTCAGCATCATGAGCTTGATAACATTATATGTCGTGGTCATCGAAGCAGAGTTCCCTGATTGAAACTTTTATCATAATCAGTAATAAATCCAATACAATTTCTTTAGGATGTCCGCACACACTTATAACAGTGACCGTAAGAATTAGCCAATCATAGTCAAGAATTTTCAAAAACTTTCAGCTCTGATTGGCTAACCTTACGGTACACTTTATGATTATTGTTATGAAAAGTGTGTGGATTCCCTTATCGCTTACAAGTCCTACCACAGAAATACTTAAAACGTAAGATTTAAAACACACACTCACATACACACATCCTTTTCACAAAAAAATTTTTATAAGTTTTTCTTTTAACAGTCTTACGATATAGCTCGGTACACGAATTATCTAGCGGATCATCCTGAAATAAAACAGCTAATCGCGGATTATATCCAGATTCTTCTTGTCGGTAATAAATTCCTTAGATAAACTTTGCACTCAATCTACTTCGACAAGTGATATTTAATTTTTCATTATCAATTTTTCAGTAAAACCTGTCAATGTCATAGATTTCACGATACAACACTACAAAGCATTTGCCCAAAAATTGAGAGTGTGAGATACCGTCAATATATTAACAATGTAATCTGATGTTGAGATAAGTAAAACTCGCTTTATGAGTGAAAAGTCATATTCCTTTAATCGGTCCACCCCATATCTCTGTTCCTGCCAAAAGTTATCTGACTTTTCATATAAAGCAAGGAAATAATTACTAACTTTGACTATTAATAATTTTTCAACGAACAGCGACCACCATCTAAAACCTGTTGGTCACTCAGAATCATGACCTTGACAACATATGTCAAGATCAAAATCATCGGCGCGGTGTCTCCTAAAGTAAATAATTACCTTTATTTATTATTAAAAAAAAATACAAATGCAACATAGTCTAGACTACACCAAAATATTTGATTGAAATATACATAGTATTAGTCCATGTAAAACTTCCGATTTTGCACTTAATGAAGTAGTTTACCTTTATCATTTTCTGCCAGGTGTTATTTCTTTTTGCGAATTGCATATCACACAATTTTCCTGAAATTTAAGAATACTATAGTAATAGTATAAATAATAAAATAAAATCAGCATAGACGAAATATTATACATACAATTAAATCAAAATTAGGTAGACAATCTTCGTGAAAACAATGCTTACAATAAAATACAACTATATTCCGCGGCTCTAGAGAAAAAGAAAGTGAATTATAATCATGTAATTAGAATTATAAGTAACTAAAAGACTAATTATAAATACCTCTTACAATTATTTTCCTATGGCAAGCTCCACACATTTGATCATCTATAAAAAAAAATTTAATGATACTTTTTACATGAAGAATAGTTTACTATATGTCACAAAGAATAGTTTACTGTAATAATTATAATTCAATAATGTGCGAACCGCGGCCCGTGAACCGCATGAAGTCAATTAATTATCTTGCGGCCCGCCGGCTTATAATTAAAAATATTAAATGATATTTTCTATTTTATGTAAACTATCAAAATAATAATATTATGCCTAACAGATTTAACAGATTTATTTGACATACATTTTTAAAAATCTTTAAAAATTTATATCTAGAAATTTAATTAATATTTCATAAATAAATATCATGTTTATAAAACATTCGATTTTCATAAATTATGTTGTTTTTTTATTCCTTATATATAAGATAAAATTCAAAGTTAATCATTCTTGTAGGTACTTTTACACAAAGTGTATAGTCGTATAAAAACAATCATCAAAATGAATAATATTGAAATAAATAGATAAAAAATGTTGACCTTAATATTAATAAAGAAATTATACAGATACTATAGAGCGGACTAAACTGAATCGAAAAGTCCTGTATCATTTGCAATTTTCATAATTGTTAATGAAGTATTAATTTTTAAAGATAGCCGAATAAGGATGTCCATTCGGCCTACGTCAAATGTACGCCCAACGCGTACATGTTCGTTCGACGCGTGGGCATGGGCCGTAAGGAACGAGGATTGTCTAACAAGTGCGCCGCACAAGTCGCGGCGTGGGACGCTTGTCCATCCTCCACTGCCTATATTCCAAATGACATCGATGGATGATGAATACAAATCTTGTTGAGGGCCTCACGGGTGAGTTTTTGTCAAAGTAATGATTTTAATAACTTTGTTTTTTAAATGTTTCTAATGAATACATGTTATATTTATATCCAGATGCTCTTTTCACACGGTCTTTCAATCGGTTTGTGAGCAATTTTTGTTGCTCTGAAAAATATTCATTTGGCCTCTCAAGATCATTTGACAACTTTCTCTTTTTATTTTACTACGTTTTGCATTTTTTAACTTTTATGCATCTAAAATGCCTTGTAACTGAAACATGTTATGTAAATATATGTAAATTATGTAACTTGTAATTTTCTTAATACATATAACTCTCTAATTATTCTAAATATGGTATATTAATTCGACGGGTACTTTTACCCTGTTAATCTGATAATTCGATTGAATATCAAGTATTTCATTGTATCTATTTCATTTAATATGATCTAATTAGCTAAGTATAATATATCCAAGATTTGTTATATTTATTAATTTATAAAAATATTAGTGATATGAGTGGTATAATTGTTTCTACGGAATACCAAAGGTGAATTTCTTAATTTATGCTGTTCTTATACAACCTCCCGAAAAAAAGTAAAAGTAATTTTAATTTTTCTTAAAAAATATTTTCATTGAATACAGATGACATCATCGTATTACTATTATAAGACGATATGGAATGGTGGGATTTTTTAAATCTACTTTGTAGGATTAATTTTTTACAATTACATTATAGATTGAAGTATAATTAAATATAAATGATGAAAAAAAATGTTATATTCATTATATTAAAAATAAAATTAAAAAGTAAAACCCAAATGATACTTTTCTATGTGATATGTTGTGTACTTTTTTATATTCTCATTGAAAGTCTTACATATATATATATTTTAACTTCTCACACACATAAAATAGTAATAATAACTTTAATTCTTCTTAAAAAATATTTTCATTCAAGTCTTCCTATTCCAATACAAGAAATAATAGCTTTAATTTTCTTCAAATATATGTTACACAAAAAACTTGAAATTAATAAAATTAATAAAATCCTAAGTGATAAAAAATCAATATATTATAATAAAACATTTTTCGATGCATGACAATATAAAAATGCATATCCATCCATATCATACATTTTCAAGTATATCAAATAAAATACATAAAATAAATAACATAATCAAAGAAACAAACGTCTCGCGTTTCAATGTAATATAATAACTAATTATAAATTAATTATTATATGTAATATAATAATGATCACTGCACAAATAAATATAAGTATCTACAAATCTATGTGTGGATATAAATACGGACACTATTTCTTATTTGATATGAAGATTACTTTCACACAATATATTATATAAGTATATTACCATCAAAATATGTATATTATATTGCTTAAAAAAAAATACAATGAAATTTTAAAATCATAATCAAGAACAAGAAAAAAAAAACATCATTCAAATTTTCTGTCTATTAGAATATAATGACATGAAGGTACATAAATAAAGCGAAATGTTCATAATCGCATTTAAAATTGTCATTGATGTGTCCAAATTATTTACTATTATTTACTATGTGTGTGTATAGACTTAATAAGTGGCATACGTGTGAGCGAAAGGTGGCTGCGATATTGTGAGAGTGCAATAAAATAGATAAAAGCAATTAGAACGTAGGCAGGGTGATTATTAGTAGTAAGAGCAAAGGCAGTATAATTAGGGTAAGTGAAAGGAGCCCGTGTGAAAAGGAGAACAAGAGTTTGAAGAGTTAGAGGTAAACGGGAAAAGGAGGTTAGGATGCCGAACGCGGGAGGATCGATTGAGAAGGCGAAAAAAGGAAAACCGGATCTTAAGCAAAGAAAACTGATTACAGAGGAAAAAGAGGGAATAAGATATCTTTCCAGTTGGAGGCAAAAAAGGAATGGGAAAGCATCGGGGGAGGGGGGGAGGCGAAGAGTATGTACGATCAAAATGCAGGAGGTATTTAAGAATTTATGTGAGGAAAAAGACAATGATGGAAAATTTTAGGATAAGAGAAAAGATGTAGAAGAATGAAGGAAATTAAAAATTTAGAGGAAAAGGCGTGCGTGCGTGCGTGCGTGCGTGCGTGCGTGCGTGCGTGCGTGCGAGAGAGAGAGAGAGAGAGAGAGATAAACAGACAGACAGACAGACAGACAGACAGAGAAAACTAGTACAAGGATAAAGAGAAAATAGAAAGAGGTTATAGGAATAAGTTGATAAGAATAGAAGAAGCGTATCAAGTAAAAATAGAGGATGGAGAAGAGTTAGGATTAGATGGGGGGGGGGGGGGGGAGATAGAGGAAGATAGTGAAGGGAATGTGGGAGTAATTTTAGTGAAAAGGAGTATAATAAGCAGAAAAGAGAGCAGTAGAGGAAAGATGAAATCATGGAATAACACAGGGGATTTATGGTAAGTGCAAAAGATGTGAGTATAGTAAAAAAGTTGATTACAGAGAAAGAAAAAGAGGAAAGGAGACTTAATATAGTAATCAAGGATTATATATATAGCCAAGGGTCGGGAAAGAAGGTGAAATGAGTGATACAGAAGAAAGCAAGGTTTGAGCAGAAGAATTTCTGAAAGAAAAAACAGGAGTGGAATGTCAAATGGAAAAGAGGACCTGTAACTATTGTAAAAATAGGAAATGAAGAAGGAAAAAAAGAGGTAATGGTTAATAAACATAAATTGAAGGGAGGTAAAATATTTATAAAGAATGATCTGAGTTTCAAGGAGAGGAAAATTCAAAAAAAGATAAATAGATGGGTAAAACAGCAGAAAGATAAAGGAGAAGAAATAAACGTAGGATTAGGTAGAGTTAAGGTTAAGGGAGCATGGATGTTTTGGGCAGAGATAGAAAAGGAAAAGGAGGTGAAAATAAGTAGTAGGAGAGGAGGATGCTGAAAAAGAAGGATGAGAGAAATTTCAGATAAGTCAAGAGGGAAAAGGGGTAAGAATAAGAAAAAGAGAGAAATAAGGTAAGGGTTGAAGAGAGATATACATAACAAGGATACGGATAGGAAAGGAAAAGGGAAAAATAAAAAAAAAAGGGAGGGATGGGCTTAAGGTAGCGGAAATTTTAGAATAGCAGAATTAGAAAATAAGGATATGGATTTTTGGAGGTATGTGGGAAGTTTTGATTTCATTAATTTATGTGAAACTTGGATAGTAGAAAGCGGATGAGAAAGACTAAAAGACAGACTACCAAAGTCGCATGTGTGGGATTATTATGTAAAAAAAAAGGGAGGGAGGGTAAAAGAGGGAGAGCTAAGGGTGATTAATCGGTAAAAGAAAAGGATGGAGAATAAGTAGAGAAAAGTTAATAAAAGAGAAGGAAGATATAATAAGGAAGGTATAATAAGTACGGAAATAACACTCAATGAGAAAGGAATGAGGATCATGTCGGTATATGGTGAACAAGGAGGAAAAATATAAAAGAAAAGTTGGAGCGAGTCATAAAAGAAGAAGAAGAAGCGAATCATAAGAGTTAGAAGATGTAATTTTTGGGGACTTTAATATAAGGATAGGGGAGCTAGAAGGAATAGGGATAGAAGGACATGATAAGAAAAGATGTAAGGATCAAGTAATAGGAAACCATGGGAAAACTTTCGTAGAATGGGTTAAAGATAAAGGGATGTAAATATTGAATGGTTGTACGGTAGGAGACTGGGAAAGCGAATATACATATATGGGAGCAAGAAGTTGCTCGGTGATAGATTATATTGTAATTAATGAAATGATAGGATTTTAGAATTTAAGGTTTGTAAAAGTGGACTCGGATCACTTGCCTCTACGAATGAGGTTCATAGAGAATAAAAAAGAAGGAGAAGATGATGATCTAGAAGCTGAGACGGTCAATGAGAGTATAAATGAGATTAAATGCTGGGAAAAAGAGGCAATCAAGAAATACAAAGAGAGTATTGAAATTTGGTATCAGAAAAAAGGCGGAAATACAAGAGGAGAAAGATATAAAGAAAAGGTGGGAGAAGATAAAGGATTTCATGCAACAATGGTAAAGAAAAAGAGAGTTAGAAAAAGGAAGGAGCTAGAGTATCAAAGAATGATGGGACAGAAGTTGCACGAGGAAGAAGAGGGCGGTAAAGAAAATTTTCTGGAGATGGAAGATAGGAAAAGTGAGGGAACGGTACATTGAGGAGAAAAGAAGCTTTAAGAATCTTATAGAAAAAAAACGAAAGGAAAGAAGAGAGGAAGAAGAGGAATTGAGGAACTTGAGGAGAGAAACAGATATATGGAGATTTATAAATAAGAAGAGAGACTGTATGTAAAAAACTGTATTGATAAGGAGACAATCACTTTGTGGAGTTATTGAATGGTTCGGAAGAGATGGAAAATGAGAGGATAGAAATGGAAGAAAAGGTTGACTTAGAGAATGGAAAATTGGAGAAAGGAAAGATAAGGAAGGCATTAAGAAATATAAAGCTGAAGAAGACCGCAGGAGTTGACGGTATACCAAGAAGCCTGGAAGTATGCAGGGAAAGGATTGTGGAAGGAAATGGTTTCTCTGATGAAGAAGTATAGGAAGATAGGATCCCAAAGGATTGGAAAAAAAGCATAGTAGTATCCTTATATAAGAGAGGCAATAAGGAATTGGTCAAGCATTATAGAGATATCTTTACTATGTATCTCACTGTGCACGGCTTATAAAATTTATGCTGAGATTTTGGGGAACAGGTTGGAAAAGGAAGTAGAAATGAAAGAAATGATACTGGCTACACAAGCAGAATTTAGAAAAGGAAGGGCAACGATTGACAATATCTTTGTGCTGTACCATGTTATCCAAAGGGAAGAGAGAGACAAGAGCAGGGAAAATATATATGTTGTTTGCGAATCTAAAGGCGGCCTTCGATAAGGTAGACAAAAGCAATTTTTGAAATACTTTGAGAAGACGAGGAGTGAAGGAAGGACTGATTAAAAAGATTGAGAGGAGCTATGAAGAAACAGAGATAACGGTACAAACCAAGGGAGGATACGGAAAGCTTTACTACAAGAGGAATGAGGCAAGAATATGTGAGTTCACTCCTGTTTAATCTGTATATAGCGGGATTAGACAAGAAATTAGAAAATAGAGGAATAGGAGAGATTAAGATAGGAGGGCTCAGGGTGTGGAATCTTGTGTATGCGGATGATATAGTATTAGAAGCAAGGAATAGGGAAGCGCTACAGAACATGATGGCGACGTTCAAGGTTTTTAACGAAAAAAAAGAATGGAATTGCTTACGGACAAATCTAAGGTTAGTAATAAAAAAAAGTAATGAGAAGGTAGAAAAATGGAAATGGGGCGGAAAAAAATAGAAGAGGTGCAGGTTTTCAAATATCTAGGTTTTATATTAAATATGAAAGGAAACTAGAAAACACATAAAGGAACTAAATAGGAAAGGCAAATTGATGGCGAGGAAGGTATGGGAATTGGAAGAAAGGATATATAGGAACGATTTTAGGAGGAGGTGGATCTTATTTATATATTTAGTACAAAGTGTAATGACATACGAGATAGAGGTATGGGGAAGAGAGAACTGGAAAAGGTAATGATAAACTACGTAAGATGGATATTTAGTTTGGATTTTTGTACGCTAAGATATGTAATTATGAGAGAGTTAGTTATGGAAAAGTTGAGGGTAGGAGAGGGAATCAGAGCTAGGAGATATGAGCAGAAAATTAAGTCAGGGGCGGCAGGAATACTGGGAAGAGAAAGAAAGAAATGGATGGAACGGTTTATATGGTCAAAAAAGGGATTACAAATGATAGAAATGGGTAGGGAGTGGAGGCAAAGGAAGTAGTAAGTGGAAGGGAAGGATTTAAGGAGGAATTGGTTGAAAGGGAAAGGGATATACAGGGGCAGTGAGAAGAGGGTAAAATCAGAAATGCCAGATATAATGAGGGATATAAAAATTGGGGAACAAAAAAGGAAGTGCTGCCTTATTTGAGGCAGAAAAATTTAAAAAAGAGAGAAAAAGAAAGGACGAGGTAAGAACTCTGTTTAAACTAAGGTGTGGGAACTTGGAAGAGGGAAATAAGTATTGGATAGAGAAAAGTAGGAGGAAGTGTATATTCTGTGGGGAGAGTAAGGATAATTTAGAGCATTATGTAAAGGACTTTGTAGAGGCAAGATTAAATTTATCACCTATTTTAGGAGAAGAGGAAAAGGGAATTTTGAAGAGGATCTAAGATGACAATTTGAACTAGGAGAAGGAAGTGGTAAGGAAATTATGGAAAGAAAGAAAGAAATTACTTCAAAATAGAAAGGAAAGAAAGAAAGAGGATAAGACACATTCGGTAGATGAATAAGTTAATGGATGTTATGTTAAATGTGGAGTGAGGCAGGTTGGAGCAGGGGTCACGTAAGAGAAAAAAATGAGTAAACATAAGTATAGTGTGGAAGAGTACACATAAATAAAAACAAAGGAGGTTTCTACAGGTTATGAAATAGATTATAATAAAGAGAGAGATAGATGGATGTAAAGATACATGTGTAGGTAGATGTATACATAGTTGTATACATGTATATAAGTATATGTATATAAGTAAGGTATAAGAGAGAGAATAAGATTTGTATGTATATTGTATTTATATGTCACTATGATAATTCAGAACTGAGATAAAATAAAGTAACATCGATAAAATAGAGAACAAGAATAAATAAGAATAAGAATAAGAAATGAAAATAAGAATATTAAGAAATTTATCTTTTTAGAGTTAAGTACTAGCAATGTGGAAGGATGAGTGTGGATAAGGAATTCATGTAAACCAAGTCCTCTTCTTGGCTATGTAAATGCTGAAGTGTAATAAATTCTATTCTATTCTATTCTATTGTATTTGTATATATATGTGTGGATGGATGAGTGTGATAAGAAAAAAAACCAAACCCCCTTCTTGGTAAATTTGTACACTGAAATGAATAAATTCTATTCTATTCTACTATATACTGTGCGTGTACGTGTGTGGTAACATAGCTCATAAAGCTGTAAATAATTCAACTGCGATGAAAAATTAATAAAATAATTAATCGATTATAGACAAAAAAACAAAAAAAACTACAGATGAAACAAAGAAATGGCAATACAAAAACAAAATGGGTAAAAAGATTTAAAAAGCATGAAACAAAAAAATTTAACAGCAATTTTACAGAAATTATAATTTTTTTAAATTATGATTTTCTGAATAACTTATGTCGAAAACTAAATTACATAAGTGAAAAGAAAATATCTTGAAAAAATATACATGAAGAAAATGTAATAATAGTAATTTCATGATGGGTCATTTCTATATCGCATCGCTGAAAATCAAAATTTTCTATTGCAGACACAGAATTTCAACAAGACATTCGATCTTAATGTATCAAATCCAGTTTCCCAGTAGCTTCGACAAAAATTAATGATTATAAATATTTTTAAAGACAAAAAATTAATTATAAAAAATTGATTACTATACAACCGAAAGATTCTACGATCCTAATTCTGTATTAAATCTCTAATATTGCATTTCATACAGGTTTGTTGTAAATTTGTTGCCAATTACTTGTCTTTACTACAGTTCTTTCGTGGCACGTGCAAAACAAAAGTGCCGACTGAGCGACAAGTGAAGTGGCGATTTAGTACGCTTGACGTGACGAATGTCGGAACCGACAGTGAGATCGTTGCAAATATGGTCGGCTTTTTGTCACGTTTAACACGCCTCTAACGTCGACCGAGTTCCGAAGAACCACTTGACCATGGCGGACACGTTTCGGTTCGGATGTTGCAAATTCACATATTTTTAAAAGTGTTGCCACGACTGAACATGCTTCGACAGAGCATTGAAACTCTCGCAGCTGTCCCGTGGTTTTGAACGACCCGTTCGTTCGTCGTGACGTGTCCGTGCGGCGTGACGATGCCGTAAATGCAGGCGCCCGGTGTTCATACAGGCTTCGCCATTTTTGCGGGCATTGCATCATTTTATTGTTTTTGTATATCTCATTAGGACGTAATCTAACCGCATCGACCTCCGTTTATTATTTCGGAAAACGGGAGCCATTAATCAAGAAGAAGAAAAAGAAGAAGTCTAACGTCGACGAGGCCTTCATAACCACAATACTCTGCGGACCACAATAGTTTGTGTCACACCAAGTTTGTGCGTAAATCACGCGACTGATAGACGCGATGCGAAGCAATCCATTTTCTGGGACGATATTGCTCGCATCCTTCGTGCGTTAATCGTGATTAATTCTTATCGGCTTGCTAGACGTTAGTCTTACGAGACAAGCTCGACAGACTGATAAACGTAGCAAGAATTGCAACGATCTCACTATCCAGACCGTATCCCGTTTGTATTCGAATTCCGAATCAAATCCGAAACAAAATTCTAAAAAAAAAGCAATGTCCCTTGCACGTACCATGAAGAAACTGGAACAGAAAAATTAAATGAAATTAAATTAGCTTGAAAAATTGAAGAAAATTATCAAAAGAGAAGAAATTACAATAGCTGAGACGGAGGAAGAACTATAGAAGGGAAATTCCAAACATAACGTATGAAGAAAAAATTAAGAAGAGTCCTTCGAAAATGTTTAAAATGAACGCTCGTTAATATTAGGTGTAGTAAAAAGAAATCCATTATTTTTCCAATAGATGGCTTTAGTAATCTATATTTCGTCTACGCGTGATATAGATTACTAAAGCCATCTATTGGAAAAATAATGGATTTCTTTTTACTACACCTAATATAAATATTGAGAGAACTAAAAAAACGTGAACATTACCTGACGAGGTTTAATATACAAAAAAGGCCGGGATGACCACTCTTAGATTTCTCTCTGTCGAAACTAATTTCTATTTTGCGTTTTTCTTTAAAGGGTGTTTTATTTGATACTGATAACCTTCGCGTTTGAGATAAAGTAAAAGTGAAACCTCTATCCCCCCCCCCGCAGAGGTTATTACAGGATCTAAGATCCAAATTCAATGCATGATACTGTGATCCTTTTCTTGGATCAAAAAACTAAGCAAGGGAATAAAAAAAAGAAGAAAAAGAAGACAATCCTCACGAGCATTATCTGTCCTTGTTTAACATTTGATAAACAAGAAATGATTTCATAAGCATTGCGAACAGTCAAGTGGAATGCACTTAAAAAACCTCATTTTAGTAAGGTGCAAGCAGTTTTCCTGATTATGATTTTCTCAATATTTTATAATTTGAGAAAAAAGAAATACGTCTCCGATAGTGACTCCTGCTGGCCCAGAGGATCCTGGAAAGTTGTCTGTTTTATCGATTATCTTTCAAATAGGACAAGTATTTTTCTAACTACCTTTATAGATTGAAAAATTTATTGTTTTATATACAAATTTTATACTTTGTACGTATAAAACAATTTTGATTTGGACTGCAGATTACATGAACAATATTGACTTAATTCTTAGAATTAAGTTTAGAGATCTAATATCAAGAAGTCGTTAGTTAGAAAATTTGCACGCGCGCGCGCAATAATGGTACATATAAGTCCTATTGAGTATCTATCATGGAACGAGTCGGAATGAATTCTTATCGGAATTATTCAATTATTCTCTAGATTTTTATTGTGTTTTCTAGAGAAAATGGAATAAAATTCCGATTGGAATCCATTCCGACTTGTTCCATGATAAATGTCCGAATCGGTAAAATAGACGACTTTATAGGATTTCTTTGAGTTTTTTTTTGTATGTATGCCATAACTCTTATATGCGCGCTAATCAAAACTGCATACATGTACGTATATTGAACTTCTTTAAAAGCAAAAATTTTAATTTTCCAGGAATTTTTGCAAAATTCTCTGATTTTCCCCTAATTTTCTTGATCATTTTCCTGATATTTCCTCGATTTTCAGTTTTATAGCGACCTTATTTTTATTTTTCGGAATCAATGATTTTATAAAATTGCATACCATCGACAAATATGCCGTTTTGATGACAACGAACAAGTCGCTCGTGGAGATTGAAATAATCGTTAGACAGTATTTTTTTACAACCTTCCTGCACAGACACCTGCAGATTGTAGTCGCATATCATTTTAACCAATGCTTTCTTTAAGCCTGGAATTTCCAAAGTAGGTTCTATTCTTTGCACCATAAGCCTAGGATCAACGTAAGTGCCGATTTTTTGAAGAAGGAATGTAATAGCCGCTGAAACAAAAATTTATTTTGAATTAAATTTTAATTAAATTTTCTTGAATTTGAACTTTATTGAAAAAAACTTTAAATTCAAGCATCCAAAATGCTCTTCAAGGTCATTGATTTGATGTGTACCAGGTTTGTCAAGTGAGTAATTAATTAGATCATTCCACAACTCTTCATCGTCATGTTCCTGACAAAATACAATTGCACTTTCCATGTCGTTGAGTTCTCTTGTCATGAGCGCCAAGGCTTCTGAAGTGTTTCCAATTCTGCCTAATAGATACACCATTTCTGGATAAAATCGACGTTGGCTACAAATATCCAGAGCCTGTTGTATCGGATAATTATCAGAGCGACGTAAAAGCGGTAATAACTTGTCTCTCGAATAATCGGCATACAATCGTACCAGAAGACCATGGTACTTGCCTTTTGAATCCTTCGTGTCTCTCTTATCTAATGCATCTAGATACTGAAAAAGTACAAATTATATAATTAAATCATTATTTTCAAAATTAAATTCCTATTTTTAATAATATATATTAAAAAAAAAAACAAAATTTAAAAAATCACAAAATATTAAATATTATTTATAAATTGCATATTTCTCATATGAAAATTGTGTTATATTGATTCCAAATATTACCAAATATAAATAACGATGATTATGTTGCAATTTTTGTACAACCGTGTCAGACGGCACTCTGTCTTTCTCTAAAAAAAATTGTATGGCACGTTCTGTGTCCAGATCCATCAAACCTTCAATCATATCGTATACTGAATTATATAACTGATACTTTTGGATCAATTGGAAAACATCCTTGTGCCGCAGCTTCAAATACATAGCAAGCGCTTTATCGTATTTGCCGTCGTGAATATATAAAATGGCTAACGCTTCTAATAATACGTTCTGTCGTTGATTGTGAACTAGTAAATGTTCCAATACGCCGTTAACTACTGCTGCCACTGTATATAAATTTGGAGACCATTCCTTGACCAATTGTAAAAAACCGTCAGGATCCATTTTTAGATATTCATATAGCACCATTTCATAGATTAATGGATCGAGAATAACGTCACCCCGAGGCAAGTAGGACGAAATTGAACGCAACTGATGCACTCTAGCAAATTTGTAAACCTGTCTCGAAGCAAGAAAGAAGGCTTATGTCACACCAAAGCAAAAAAGTTTGATAGACACAAACTTAAATGTAACTGCAAACAGCAGTTTTTTCGCAAAATGAATATTAAAAATGCAATAATTTTGCAACATAATATCTCTCACCTCTTCCTCCCATAATTTTTTATTTCGTCCTAAAACTTTGAGACAAAGTTTTCCAGCTTCATCGTATCTTCCACATGCTAATAAGTGATCCAAATAAATACGCCCAACATCTAATACAGTATGCCTCTTACAATCTTTGCCATTATTTGTTGTTACAGCTTCCAAAGCTTGCTCAAACTTTCCATGACTCAATAGCCATTCGATTCTGTCGTCTGTATCATATAATCTAGCCACTACAATATCCTTTGGACTAACAATAAAAAATCTGTAAAGAATTTTCCTGTATGAAAGATAGATCGAATAGATAGATAGAACAAAATCTTAAACTCTTTGAGATAGGAAAAACATAATTTTAAAATTAAAAAATTTTTTTTTCAAACTTCTTAAAACTGGGAAAGTATACTTGAATTCAGATTTTCGTTTCACATCTTAAATATCAGACAAATTTATTAATAATTTGTGTGAATCATTATATTATATATTATTATAATATTCTAGAAAAGTAATATTTGTTAAAATTAATTTTTAGCATATTTAAAAAATTATCTTAAAGTTTTTTATGGCACATATTTTAATCTCTCATTAAAATATAGAATTTTGAAACAAATTGTTATTGTCATCTCATACTTTTAAAGCCTTTAATTTTGCAATCAACTTATAAAATTAAGAAATATACAAATTGAAGAGTCAAAGGATTCAAATCCAAAATCTGCCAACTATGAATTAACCATTCTCACATAAAACTATGTATCATCTTTCAAATTCATTTTAATATAACAATTTTACGATATTGATTTTATTTTACGATATTGATTTGATTTTATTTTACGATATTGATTACCTATTTTCTTCTTTTAAACAGTCCAAATGATAATCATTGCAGCTGTATTCCTTGTAGCCACGTAAGGTAAGAGAATTTGCACATATTACTGAGAAATCTTGATATTTTGGTTCAACCACATGTAAAGTTGGGCGTTGATTCTTTCCATTTTCATCTAGCTCCTTTAGGCAACCCAATAATATTAACTGATTCTTCAATGGTGCTATACCGGATATATAAAAATCTACTTGAAATGTTGATACTGAAAAATAAAATGTAATTAAATAATTCTTGCATTTTAAACATTTCCTGTTATAATCCAAATCAAAGCATAGGAATGAACTCTAAATGTAACTCTAGATTTAACCCTAGAATGCTTGTTACATAAAATTTTACGTACAAATGAGCGAAATCGTTGGGTGCTAAGCTATGCCTTCATAGTCATTAGATCATTAGGAGGTCCAATCTGCCATGCTAAAACTAGGACAAGCAAAGACAAGCTTTAAAATTTTTCTTATATACCTATCAATTTGGATCTTATAGTGATCAATATTGTAACAAAGCACGATATATATATATACATATATATATATATTTTTTTTTTTAAGTATAATATTTTTTAAGAAGTCGCACGTATGCAGGCACAATTGAACTACAAAATCCATATTATTTCAAGGTTGAATTTAATAACGTGCTAATTTTTTCTTTTCATCATTTAAATTAATAATTAGATTATTTGTGTTTATAAAAATCTAGAAATATTTTGTTATTAAAAGCATAAAATATATTTTAAAACTGTATTATAAGAACGGCTAATTTCTTTGTACGTAAAATTTATGTGTTGATAATTATTCATTCAATAACGATAGCATTATAAGGTTAAACATGAAAAGATAAATAAACTAAGGCTGCGTTCAGAAATACACACCGAATGTCTCCAAGTACCAATTTATTCTTGTTTAACATTCAATGAATAATAAGGATAGAATTTGAAGATTCGGTGTGTATTCTCGAACGCAATTCAACAATTTTAACAATAAACACCGCAAATACAGACGGACTTAAATTTATGCTGACAAATGTATTCTATTTTTTTAATGTATCAAAGCAAGATCACTCACAATTATGTATATCTCTAAGTATTTTGTTTATAATATACGTTCTTGCTAATTTAGTCTGGACTCATTCCAATATTTCCGCATTAAAAGGTATTTAAAAAAGAATAAATACACTTTATTACCTGGATCTACTACAAATTCAGGCAAATCTCGATTGACCATTTCTTGCATAGTACGTTTTCTAATATGACAGATACGCACAATGTCTACCCACCCAATCAATAGTGTCTTGTCGTCTGACCACTGTAAATTGCACCTATAGTGTTCTGGTGATACCCTGCATGAAATAATACACAAAACTCACATGAAATATATAAAATATTTTTATGTGCTACGCTGAAATACAAAATATAAAATAAATTGTGAAATACTGTTATTCAAATAAAAGTATTTCAAATATATGCTCAGTGCTGATTGTATATATGCTTTTCTGCAATGCTTACTCTGCAGTACAGGACCACTTGATAAGTCCCAATGAACATCTAGCATCAAGATCATAGACTCTCACGCCAGTATCAGAAGCCCATGCAACAAAGTGACCGAACCATGCAACAGATCTGACTCCACCCTCTGCTTCACAAAGCACTGTTGGCTTCATCCTAGCCAGAAAAGTCTTTTCATAAAGAATTAACTTGTCATCGCCTATGGGTTACAAATATTTATTTATTTATTAAAAATTAAAGTTAATATTTCAAAAATTAATTTTATTATAAACTCCAAAAAATCATATCATGTATGCTATACAAATTTAAAAGATTAAAGAGATTAAACCTGTAATAAATCTTCTGCCACTACCACTTTTATAATTTGGGTCAATTGCTATACTCTTGACTAGTCTACCCATGCTCATATTATGATTGTTTTCTGTACTATACAGTCCATAAATAAAAACCTTTCCATCATCACTGCAAGAGGCGATAAAATCTCCATTATAGTCTATGGATATCTGATTGACTGCTACTGTGTGTGCCTGTAGCATTTTAGATTTTATATTATTTCCTTGATGGTCTAAAAGATGGATCATTCCCCAATGTGATCCCAGACAAAGAAACTATATCAAAAGAATAAAATTAATTTAAAAAAATTAATATCCTTATTTTTATCCGTATCGATAAAGTTAAAATTATAATAAGATAATTGTCGAGTTTAGTCTTTCATTTTTGATGTTAATAAAATTAGGATCATTTGACGCGTTTTTGCACGAAATGAAATGAATTTGGCAAAAAAAGGTGTTGCTCTCCCCTGTGAACTGAGGTATTAATCATCACAGTTGACGATTATTCAGTTTAGGAAATCTCACATCAAAGGCATAGATAGAAGAACATGAGAATTAAGAGGTTAGAAGAAGTATTTTTGCTTCAATTACACAAATTCCCTGCTTTAAAAACAAATTCTCTGTTTTAAAAGCACAAATTCTGTTTTAAAACTACAAATTCCCTGTTTTAAAAACACAAATTATTTTCTATATAATTTTTGTTTTTACAACAGAGAATTTGTTTTTGGTTAGATATGTGTCTGCTTTAAAAACACAAATTCTCTGCTTTATAACATAAATTGTCTGCTTTAAAAACAAATTCTCTATTGTAAAACCAAAAATTATATAGAAAATAATTTGTATTTCAAAAGCAGAAAATTTATATTTTTTAAGCAGAGAATTTGTTTTTAAAGAATTTGTGTTTATAAAACAGAGAATTTGTGTAACAATCTATATCATCGATGTGACAGATTTCCTAACCTGAATATCTGTCAACTTTAACAATCAATATCTTGATTCACAGGACAGAGCAACTTTTTTCCAGATTCGTTCAAAATCATGTTAAATGAATCTAATTTTATCAATATATATTAGAGGAAGCTAAGCTCAACAATTACCATTAAAAAATTTAATATACTTAAAAATTAAAATTCAATTCATCACTCATAGATGATTCTTACTTTTGGATGTACAGCAATGCAGCTAGCTGCATCATTTTGCAGGATATGTTCCAAATCATTACGTATCCTAACATATTTTAATCTAGGTTCTGTCTCATCTATTTCTGAAGAATCTGAATCTTCCTGATTATTCTGTTCATCCTATAATTATAATTTCCCATTAGAAACTATCAATTGTTCAATATATACAATTTCATTATTATTATTCCTTCCTTATGTTAGACAAAAGATTAATAAGTAATAACTTTAAAATAAATTTTAAAAAATTGTTAAAAACTAAAAAAAAATAATAATTTGAGGAATGAATAAAGAAATTCATCATTTTAGAGATAATATTAGAAAAAATATTATATTACACTAAAATATAAAAATGCAAATAGTATAAGTTTTCAACATAACGTAATGATAAATATCGTGAGAGAATTAAGAAAAAAACTTAATAAATCGCGATGATACTCACTTTACTAGACGTAGATTCCATTTCTGCTTCACGATCTTTGTAAACACAATATGACGAATTAAGTAGTATTGTCAAAATTTTTTTTTGTAAAAATTTTTTTGTCGGTGAAAACCTCCGATTGGAAACAAAATGTAGAGTCTTGTACCACTCTGCGTGGTACTTTAACAAATTTAGTAAAAATAAAATAAGGCGAGGTTAAGTTGAATATAAATTTTTGGAATTGCTGTTGCTGCTGCTGCTGCTGCTTGTTTTAAGCCTAATCTACATTGGTCGTATTATAGATGTCGCAGGTCGCAGGTGCTCAGAATAAATCCTAGGCCGGTATTCATAGTCAAGTCTTATTTCAAGACCGTCTTAAGTAATGTCTTAAGACGCTAATGCAGCCTTTTGATTGGTTCGTGTCTTCTTAAAACCGTACTTAAGACGGTCTTGAATATAAGATCTGACTATGAATACCGGCCCTAGGCTAAGCTACGGTCCACTTGATGCTACAAATGTTTCGAAGCATTTTTTGATTGATCAGTCAGTAAAATTCTTTCTTCCGATTGGTCAATCAAAAGTTTCGAAGCGTTTATAGCGTCAAATGGATCGCACCCCTAGATTTAGAGAAGCGCGATTGGTTTTAAGTATTCTGATTGGTCATTGCAATCACGTGATTCGTAGTCAATAATAAATTTATTTCTATGTACTAAAAATGCTTAATGAATGATTGATGGATTTCATAGTCCGTCTTGCAAACGCCATTTTTAGTACTCCTTCTAGTACTTTTTAGTACTTTTGCAATACTGACATAAGTTGATTGTACTTCTCTTATAAATACGGAGTAACAAGGAGATCAAACTCAAGCGGCCGGTCTCGAAAAAAATTGGCTCAAAACACGATGTCGAAAAAGCGCTCTATGGCAAAACAAATTCGAGCTCTTATTGGAGAAAATTGTAAATTAGAGTATCTTTTAATAGTTCGTATATCGTATGCGCGCGAAATACTGATATGTATAAGGCACTATAATGAATATTAGAACACGCATATGCCATTTTTACTTCTTTTCTTACTTGTTTTTCCTTAATTCTTTGCTCTTTCTCCACTTTGCCGCTAAGCTAAGAAGATTAAATAGAGAACAAAAAGAAGGACTAAAAATGGCGAATGTGAATACCTATATTATCACAAACTTCTATTATACGTTAGACTGTTAACAACTTTTTCTATTGTCAGAAAAAGTAGATTTATTTTCAGACTTCGAGCTTGGTCTCCTTCTTATTACTTCTCCGTGCTTATAAATGTAGGATTCTACCTGTACTAAGTACACGATGCCTGTGTTCCAAAATTTCACATACGTAAATTATTATATAAATTTTCAATACTGGCAGTAAATTTTGGAACTCAGCCGATGTAAACTGGGCAATAGGTTTTAGGGAAGTTTGAGAGAATCCCAGATTTCTCTAGAGTGATAAAGGCATTTGGCAACATTGCTGCTCGCAGTGATCACATCAGTGATCACGATCAGACCACACTGATCAGCACAGTAGTATTCGATTCTTTTCTTAATCAATCGAACATGATTTTAAACGCTGTAACGAAAGCAGTCCCTACCTCCTTGAGAGTTATTAAACCTTCCCTTTTGCAAAATGAAATCGCTAAAGTGTCAGGTGTCCTCGCTATCAACAGTGAGTACATATTTTTCAATTTACTAATGGATAATCGGTGATTGGCATGACATACTTTGTTGAAGTATTTGTCTGGATTTATTTTTATGATAATATTCTATGAGAAATCGAATAATTCGAAATTATCAACAATTATCCCGTTCATAACAACCGATACTGAATTTCTTATGGACCATTTGAAGAAAATTATTTGTTGGTTATATAATCGGTAGTCAATTGGTGAATTCCATTTAACAATATGGCGACCTTAACTTGTTCTTTTATCCCGTTTATAAAATTCTGCGAACAGGTAAATATTCAGTGCGATTATAAATGATGTATTTCTCAGTGTCTTGATCGGGAAGAAATATTTCGTTACATAGAATATTTGTTTTTATAATTTGTTTGACAATGATTTTAAAGCAATTGTCGATTGTTGTTCTTTTCGATATTTTTTTCTATTTAATTATATTTTGAAGAGCATATTTCAAAATATATGTAAAAATTATGTTGTAAAGGTTTCAAAACATTAATTTTGATGGTTATATATGTTTTTATGTTACATAACATATTCCTCGAGTTTGCAATGTTCGCAAAGTTTTTGGAGTACATTGAAATCGACTTCTTTTAGAACAAATAAAAATATTTAATGTATTTATTGTATTATTATAATGTATATATATATATTCATGGAAACATATATATCTATAGATGGAGTTAATTCATTGTGATTGTCAAAAAATGTTTTTATCTGAAAGTTAATCTAGAATATTTTGTAGAATATTAAAATCTGGATATCAATCATGTAACATTTTCTCTAAGGTGAAAACGTGATAAGTGAAAATTTATATATATGTATATATATATATATATATACACACACACACACACATACATACATATATATATATATATATATATATATATATATACATAAATTTTCATTATTTTACTCTAAGAAAAAAATAGATCTGTTCGCGTTACTTGCACTTTTGGTTCAACATCTTCGTTTTCTCTCTTTTCAAGGCAAAATATGTATCTATCTCATTTTAAGTGCAAAAATATTTGGGGATTTCATGCAATGCGAACGGACCTAATTACATGATTGACCCCCTGATTTTTTCCTAGCAATAATTTGACCATTACTTATCCCAAAGAAAAGTATTTAATCAATTGTATTTTATTTGTGTTTGATTTTGTCGGAGGCATTTGTTTGCTCTTTCATCTCGAAAATCGTTTGGTACTCGCACCTTTCTGCTACATGTTATCTCATCTGCGTTTGATATTAACATTTCGAGAATTACTCCTCGTTCCGGATTCAAAGACTAAACCTCGTAAAGCTAATGCAAGTTTTAGCGTCTAAATTATCTATTAAAATATCTTAATTTCAGCGATGCATGTAATATATACATGATATGACTGATTAATTAATCATATAGATGCATATTATACTAGCTCAGTACACCATTCTTTAAGTGTTTTGCCGAAATTAAGATAATTTAATATAAAGTTATTAGTTCCTACGTGTACCAAGTGCTTGATATAAGCTAGGACACAAGTGGAAAAAGCTACATTTGATCTAATTCTATCTGAAACGAATTGAAACTGTATACAGCATACACGTTCTGTTCCAACTGAATCGTACACAATACTATAATATATACTTTATGCTTTCCTGTATACGTTTGTGTCAAGATGTATTAAATATTGAAAAGCACTTGTCTAAAATACATTATGTAATTATTAATTATTATCACTGACTCTTAACATATCTCACAAAAAATTAACAAAAATTGGTAGATTTTTTCTTTCCTTTTGAAAGTGTGTACACAATTTCTTTTTAGATATATATAATTATATACAAACTTTTTGTGGTTTAAATGTAAAATTGAATTATTTTAAATAGGAAGAGATTATGCTGTCAAAGCTGCAGCTGTTGCTGGCAAAGGTAGTGCACAAGGAAAGGTAGTTGCTGTCATTGGTGCTGTTGTTGATGTACAATTCGACGATGCTCTCCCACCTATACTTAATGCTTTGGAGGTACAGAACCGTACACCTCGACTGGTACTCGAAGTCGCCCAACATCTTGGAGAAAATACAGTGCGCACCATTGCTATGGATGGTAATATTTTATATATATTATAAACACAATATGTAAAAAATTTATATAAATTTAATTATAGATTTAAAATAGCACTAATAAGTAACACTACCCAATTATCACTCATCAATCTAGATGAAACTACACATTTGTTTAACATTGTAAAATATTCAACCCGTGTTTTTCTATTTTTTCCTAAAATGAATTTTAAGGATTGAAACCTTATCTTGATCTTGAGAGGTCAAGGTTGTGTGAAGATCAAGTTGATTTTTTCAATGCTAACTTCAAAAAATAGCAAAAAGATAAAAATGAGGATTTAATGAAGCGGCATGGCTCCAATAAATATATAAAGGACATCATTACATAGGTTTTTATTAATTCTACAACTTTTGTCGGGACAACATATTTCGTTGCCATCTATATACTTGGAGTAATTCTCATGGCGAGGTAACATATTTTTGGGGATGCTTTCAATGTTAAACAAGTGTGCATAGTTTCATCCAGATTGGCGAATGATAGTTGGATAGTGTTACTTGCAAAATTCGCTTCAACCAAAAATATTTCTCATATTTAATTAAATTTAGTCTTATCGATCCTATTTTTGAACATATATTTAAAAATAAACTAATAATAAAAAGGCTATGAAGACTACCAAACTGGATATTTTTGCTAATAACTTTTATGTAAACAGATTAAAATTGATGACATATAAGTTTGTTTAATTATAGATTTCTTATGCATAAATATAAGTTGACATTTTGTCGATTCAATAATAAATCATTCTTACTGTTAGGTACGGAGGGTTTGGTACGTGGTCAAAACGTATTAGACTCTGGATTTCCTATTCGTATTCCTGTGGGAGCCGAAACCTTAGGCCGTATCATCAATGTAATTGGTGAACCCATTGATGAACGTGGACCTATTGCCACAGATAAGGTGGCCCCTATTCATGCAGATGCTCCTGAATTTGTACACATGTCCGTTGAACAAGAGATTCTAGTCACTGGCATCAAAGTCGTGGACTTGCTGGCTCCCTATGCTAAGGGTGGAAAGATTGGTATGACATAATTTGCGGTAGTATTAGAGCTTTGAAAACGTAAAACTCAATCGGTTTTGTTTAGTAATATTATTGGAATTATTAATTATCCTTCTTAATATGTCCATATTATGAATTACTTTAATATATAACAGGCCTATTTGGTGGTGCTGGAGTCGGAAAAACTGTACTTATCATGGAACTAATCAACAATGTGGCCAAGGCTCACGGTGGTTATTCAGTGTTTGCTGGTGTGGGTGAAAGAACGCGCGAGGGTAACGATCTCTATCATGAGATGATCGAATCTGGTGTAATTTCTCTCAAGGACAAGACCTCTAAAGTAGCACTAGTTTATGGGCAAATGAATGAACCACCTGGCGCCCGTGCCCGCGTAGCTCTCACTGGTCTCACTGTCGCTGAGTACTTCCGTGATCAGGAAGGTCAGGATGTACTACTATTCATTGATAACATCTTCAGGTTTACTCAGGCTGGTTCCGAGGTAAATAGAAATAATATATTTAATAAATGTTAAGTCTCAAGTGGATCTAAATAGTATATTGCTTATCTTAGAAATGGGGAAACATCAGGATCATGGAAAAAAATTGATTTTGAAATTCTAAGATTTAGATCTAAAAAAGTGATTATATAGAATTTTTTCAATAAATATACATTTTTTCAGGATATATAATAATACTGATATTAAAAGTATTAAAAAAACAATATGACACTTTTCATGTTTTATTAGAGCTGCGTTCTATTTTACGCTCATAACGCTCGTTACCATTAGTTGTTCTTGCTTTTTTACACAATAAGGATGAAATGATTCAACAAAAGCGTCTAGTAATACGCCTGCGTATTCTATTCCTACTACACCTTTAATATATGTATAGAAATTATAAAAAAGTAATGCTATAGTGAACACAGAAATTATATCTCTTATTGCGTTATATAATTGTGACGTCAAATTGTACATTTGCCATATATGTAATATTATATTGCTAGCGCAGTCTTTTTTTGAGAGTGAGAGATGTGCGAAGACAATAAGATAGAGAATAATCGGACTTCTCACTTCCATACAGATAAGATTGGTTAGGAATATGCGCATGCGTATTGAAAGTTTTAAGTACTATCTAAGCGAGAGGTAGATATCGTTCACATATATGTAGTACTACTATATTGCTAACGCAGCTCGAAACCTGGCACTACGGTGCAGATGATGTCTACCTCTTACTTAGAGGAAAGACGTGAGCGTACACGAATGAATTCATCGTAATGTATGTAATACTGTTTAATTGGGTATCATTATTTGATTCATTGAAATTCTACATTTTTCTATGAAATATTTTTTTCAAATATCTTGTTTTTGAGATGCTTCATCGGTCGGGAATTTTTTGTCACTTTATATAATGTATATGATATATGTTTTTAGGTATCTGCTTTATTGGGTCGTATTCCATCTGCTGTGGGCTATCAACCTACATTGGCTACTGATATGGGTACTATGCAAGAACGTATCACCACAACAAAAAAGGGGTCTATCACCTCTGTTCAAGCCATTTATGTACCTGCTGATGACTTAACAGATCCTGCTCCCGCTACCACTTTTGCTCACTTGGACGCTACAACCGTATTGTCACGTGCCATTGCTGAATTAGGTATGTATCTCTTGGTAAATTATATTACTCGCATTACATTGGATTAATATACATATAAAGTATCTAAATACAGTAACATGATGAAATTAACTTTGATAATGAAATAATACATGTATATTCTGTACAACCTTAAAAACATCATTATTGGATATTTAACCGTATAAACAAAATTTTCAACCATAATCCAGAGCAATTAGAATTTTTCTGCGGAAAAATTAGCAGTTAGCTAAATTTTTGCATGGACCTTTATTCCGTCATTCTAAATGTCTCGTTCCTATCGATGTGACCTCTATTTAAAATTTTTTGTAAGAGGGTAGAAAAAAGTAGAAAAGTAGAAAAAACTAATTTTTCTGCTACGGCTTTGAAGTTTGAAGCCATTTTCACAATTTTAGAAAGACTTTAATATTAAGTAAGAAATCGACCGATGAGATTAAACACACATGAGTGAAAAATGCTATATTCAATCAAAGCAGTTCTTCATATCTAATCATTTTTCTTATGAATAATTTTTCTTCTTTATACAATCTCCCATATAAGAGATTCAGATTTCGAATATCCCTGGGGTAATATTTATCTGAAGATAAATTTAAGGAAACCTTAAATATAAGGACTATGAATACGGGCATATGCTCTGTCTAGTAATATATGATCTAAGAGCCCATTATGGTTGGATTTTTAATGCTTAAATAATTCAATGTGAATTTATATATACTTTATATATATATATATATATATATATATACATTCCACGAAGTAAGAGGAGAGGAGAACTCTATGAAGAAAAATGGGATTGGTTTTGGCACCGAATTGGAAGGAAAAGAATAACTTGTTAATTTAGACGCCATTTGTAATATCAACTTTATCTCACTTTATTCGCCAGTTTTATTGGTGTCTCCCAGCCCTGTATTTTATATCTTTATATGTTACAACAATCTTTGAAATTGCAAAGATGTCATGTTGGATTCGTGAATGTAAAGGAAGAAAAAAAAAGATGCTTTGGAAAAGACAAATAGCCTGTTTAAATCTCTTGCACAATATTTTTTATAATTGTAAAGATACGATAAAGTCGTCTAAAACTGTATGTAGTGTTGTTATATTTTATTAAATGAAAATGATTTAAAAATATCTGAATAAAAAAAAACTTCCTCACAATTAGAAGCACAAATCGGAGAAACAAATATGTGCCTGTTGGAACAGCTGACATTTTACAAGTGGCATCTAAATTAATAAGTTATTCTTTTCAGCAGACTCCCTCTCAATTCGGTGCCCAAACCAGTCCACTTTTTTTGCTCGCACAATATCAAGTTGAATCTCTTTCTCTCTTACTTCATGATACATGCATACATATATACCGTATTTGTAATCATTTTAAGCTGCGCGCCGAAATTTTATCCGACTTAAAAACGCAGATAAACTACTGAAATATCATAATTAAATTTTGATTCAATAGACAGCTATTAAAGAAATTTATTAAAGAAATCATTAATCTGAGTATGAAGTACTCAGCTCATTTCAGACTCAGTTTACAACTCAGTCAACAATGGGAGTAATATAACATAAAATGCAATAAAAATTGACCAATCATAATCTATTATTCTCACATTTGACGGCATTATTGAATTGATCAATTTCTTACGATTTGCCACATCTTATGTTTTATTATTCCCATTGCATAGATGGCCTTTAGAGATAAAGAAACAGTGGACATTAACAAAGAACAAAATTAAATTTGTCTTCGGGACACTGCCATTGTCTTCTACACAACTAGTAGCAGCAGTAACGCAATTATTCAGATTCTAACCAATCATATTAAATTGACAAATAAAGTTTAAAACATGTAAAGTAACTGTAAAAATAACTGAAATTAGATACTAGTTATAAAAAGAAATATAACTAAGTTGCAGTTACAGTTGGAAAAGAAGGAACAAAGTTAAGTTAAAGTTATTGAAAAAAAAATAATCTAACTGTAACTTACAAGTTGTTAGTTGCAAGTAACTAATCACTTTCCAACCTTGTTTTTTAATATGTATTAATTTAGTGTAATGCAAGATTGAATTTGCTATCTGAAAATTATCTATTGTATCACAATCAATAATTCTTCAAGTACTTACTGGCATGTAGGTATTTATCCAGCTGTCGATCCTCTTGACTCTACATCCCGTATCATGGATCCTAATATTATTGGCGCAGAACATTATAATATCGCCCGTGATGTACAGAAGATCCTTCAAGATTATAAATCACTACAAGATATCATTGCAATTTTGGGTATGGACGAATTGTCAGAGGAAGACAAGCTGACAGTTGCACGTGCGCGTAAAATTCAAAGATTTTTGTCCCAACCATTCCAGGTGAGAGAAAACATACATTATAAGTGTGTTAAATGTTTCACTAGGTAGTTTTGGCTTCCTAGCCTTCATAATGTTTTCAATTGCGCTTTAACATTTGAAGTAAATAAATGTTAAACAAGTATGACATAATTTAAAAATGTAAAAATATGTAAAATTCAATTTTACAATTACTTAAAATTGCGGTAAAATGGTAATTTATTGGTAATTTTAATAAAATTTGTTTCTTATTAGGTGTTGGAATTAATTCGTAGCGTTTTACAAGTGATGGGAAGTACTTTCATTAATGTATTTTTTAATGCTCATGTGAAATAAATAACATTCTTTCATTAAAAACGCTACGAATTAATTCCAACACCTAATATAATTTTATGCACAAATAGACTGTATTTTCGTTCTTATGTATACAATTTAAAAATTAGATGATATATATTTTTTTCTTCTATTTCTGTCTTTTAATTAATTAATTATTTAATTTATTTAAAATTAAAAATTTAATAACTATAAAAGAAAAATCATATGATAGATAAAATTATCTTTAATATCTTGTGATTTTTCAAATTACGTAATCTTTTTCAGTAGGGTATAATTTAATCGGAACAAAGCTCACTAAATCAATTAATATAAATATAATTAATATATTTTTGTTTGATTATATGATTATGTGATTATATTATTTTTGTTTCTAGTAAAAATATGACAGTTGCTAAAAAATAAAATAGCAAGCAAATAAAAATATTATAATAAGTTTATAA